TGTATAGATGACTTATATAAACCCTGAAACCAAATTTCAGAAATCCTTGTAATGTAGTTCCTGAGAAAGATGCGACGAAAAATATTCATGGGACGGACAGAATAACGGCCAGACAGAGGTAAAACAGTATACCCCCACTTTTTAAAGCGGGGGTATAATAAATGTATAATTTTAGAAAAGTTACACTGAGTGCAAAATGATAGGCCTGCCAGCAATATATCAAAAGACAAGGTTTCTGAATGGGAATAGGCCATGATTATTGTGGTGGTGTTTAGCTATTATATTTTTGCATGTAATCCTTCTTTTAAATTTCTTAAGAGGAATAACAAATCACACATATAAGATAATGAATAGAATAGAATACTGTGGAATCATTTATTTTCGTGGATTGCGGAGAACTTACCTTTTTGTGGATATGTGATTTTGTGGTTTTGCCAAAGTCTGCATACAACCTGATAGAAATTTGTATTTCGTTGAACATTTAAATATGTGGTTCACCTGTACCCAAGAAAATTGGTATCCAACAAAAAATAATGAATCCACAGTAGATCAAGAAACTATAAGTTACTTTTGAATTTTAGGACATATATAGAAGCCAATTAGAACATTTAATTTTGTCTAGAATAGATTACCATGGGTATCTAAGCTGGAACTGTCGAGAAAGTTTTGAGAGGTGAAAGGGAAACATCTTGCATTTAAAATATGTTACTGAATGTTTGAAATTCAAGGCTTTTTTTTCCATTTTTTTCAAGGAAATTTCCAGGTGGGAAACAATTGATTTAAAATTCATGGCAATTTTTAGTTTTTAAAGTAGAGTGGAATCCCTAAAGTAAGCATCCAGAAGGCTATTTTATGATGTGTGTAATGAAAGTAAAATTATATTCTCTCATTGCCAATCGGTAGGGACATAAAAAATAAATTGCTTCGCTGAGTGCAGCTGTATATGACAGCAGATGTCCAACCCTGAAAAGTTGGGGCCAAAATGGACACAATATTCATGCTTGATACAGGTCTGAATTTGGATTGTAATTAAATTTTTGGCACATAATAGGTTTCTGACACAGAATAACTGCAGTCAAAGAACTTCAAGTTGATTATATGATTTGAATTTATATTCAATTTTTTGCTTTTGTGCAATACACTGCGAATTGCCCCCCCCCCCCCCCAAAAAAAAAATTTACCCCGTTTTTTTGTGTTTGTGCAATACACTATGCTGTTGAATATTAACCCCCAAAAAAAAATATTTGAAGAAATTTTCTTTTAATTTCTGAAATCTGAAATGAGAAAAATTTTCCCCCTCCAATTTTTGGATTTTGATTTGGATTACCTCCCTTACACTGCTTTTAAATTGTCTCAATTTTCCTTTAACCAGAAAAACCCTTGTTTTTCCCCCTTTTTTACCCCTAATTCCTAATTGGTTTGAGCCATAACCCCCCAAAGTCAATCCTAACCATCCCTTTGTAGTATGGAAACTTGTGGTATAATTTCAGAGAGATTCATACACTTTAACACAAGTTATTGTCTGGAAACTACAAAAATGCTTATTTGGGCCCTAATTCCTAAACAGTTGGGACCATAACCCCCAAAATCAATCCCAACCTTCCTTTGGTGGTTATAAACCTTGTGTTAAAATTTTATTGATTTCTATTTACTTATACTAAAGTTATTATGTGGAAACCATCTGTCTTCGGACGACGCTGACGACGACGACAACGTGATACCAATATACGACCAAAATTTTTTTAATTTTTGCAGTCGTATGAAAATACATAGCATATAAAATATAGGATATGCCAAAACACATAATTAACAATGCTGTGTAATGATTCATAGCCTTACCAGTTTAGAACCTTCACAGACCTTCTTCAGAGGCAGAATGATGGATTAATTGTTCGATCCTATTTATATAGATCTGGTATCTGGCTGAAAAAGTGTTATTCTGTATCTGGCGGATATCTTTACAGAATCAATTCTCCTTTCAGTTAAAATCTAATGTAATTTTCCTTTAAGTTACGGTAAACTTTATTCAACTGATTTACATGTTAGGGTAAACATTTAACCTAATGATATAACCCAAATTTGGGCTTCTACATTGTGGTATAGGGTGTCTTTATTGAAATCAAGGTACATGGTGGTAAACGTTATGCTTTGCCAAAATATCAAGTCTAAAAATGGTTTTACATTACATGGAAGTCATGCAGTCGTGATCTTTGCCTTATGATTTGTCGAAAAATCAAGTCTAATAATAGTGTTACATGGTAGTCATGCAGTCTAGATGCTTTAGCTTGTGATTTGCCAAAATATCAATTCTAAACTATATACCATCCCCAAAAACTAAACACCGATGATTAATATATTATTACCCTTAATTTTTAAAAGGGAGTATTGAAGATTAACTAATGATTCAATTATTATAACCCTCACTCCCAAACAAAGTTTGGGGGGTGGTATATAGTTTTTTTATTTTGTTTTGGCTCTAATTCTGACTGAGGCTTATGGTGATATTTATATTATAATGTAATGTCTTATTGTTGACTCAATTACTTCAATCATTGTATGTGATTTATATGCCCTTTATGGTCCCTGTAATTTGGAATATTCTATTCTATTCTATTCTATTACCATGTAACACTATTGTTAGACTTAATATTTCGACAAATCATAAGCCAAAGATCAAGACTACAGGGCTACCATGGGATTTAAAACCATTTTTAGACTTGATAAATTTCGGCAAATCATAGTTAGCCAAAGCATCAAGACTGCATGACTACCATGTACCTTGATTTCTATAAAGACACCCTATACCACAATGTAGAAGCCCAAATTTGGGTTATATCATTAGGTTAAATGTTTACCCTAACATGTAAATCAGTTTAATAATTTTTACCACAACTAAGCAAAATTCCACTGGATTTTAATGGAAAGGAGAATTGATCCTGTAAAGATATCTGTCAGATACAGAATAACTCTTATCCACCGGATATCAGATAACTTTTATTCGCCAGATACCAGACAGTGTTCTCCCCAGGATTTTTTGATAGGGCTGTGGTAAGCGCGCGATATTAGATTGATTCACCTTTCGCATTTTCGATGTAATGTTACATTTACTTACAAGCCTGTGGTCTACATAAATAGAATGCAACAATTAATTCATCATTCTGTCTCTAAAGAAGGTCTGTGAAGGTTCTAAACCGGTCAGGCTAATAATAATCACCAGGCGTTGTTAATTATGTATCCTATATTTTATATGCTACATATTTTTTCTCCTGCTGATTCACATAATTAATATGGCTTCCAATAACAAAAAGTTCTTTTAGGAGCTATCGTGTTTAGAGACCTCTAATGTCAGTATATCATTACTTTATTACTCGCATAATAAAAATACACCACACACGCTTCAATGTACAATAAAATCAATATCAATGATATCAAAATCTAAATTGACTTTTAAACAAGAGTGCACACGCTGAAATGTCTCGCCTACTATACTGACCATTGATTTTATGTTGATAGTCTTACATATAAAGTTTTACTACAAGTATCACATTAACATTTATGATCCAAGAAAATGAGGTCAAGGTCAGATAAACCAAGCCGGAACTACATGTACACCTTTAATACAATCATTCCATACACAGAATATAGATGACCTATTGCTTATAGTATGAAAGAAACAGACCAAACCATGGAAATTCTATACTGACCAATGAACCATGAAAATAAAGTCAAGGTCAGACCGACATGTACACCTTAAAATCATTCCATGCATCAAATATAGTTGACCTATTGCTTATAGTATCTAAGAAACAAAGTTAACCAGGAAAACTGAACATTGACCAATGAACCATGAAAATGAGGTGAAGGTCAGATGATACCTGCCAGACAAACATATACACCTAACAATCATTAAATACACCAAATATTGTTCACCTATTGCTTAAAGTTTATGAAAAACAGACCAAAACACAAAAACTTAACATAAGCAATGAACCATGGAAATGAGGTCAAGGTCAAATAAAACCTGCCAGACTGACATGTACATCATAAAATATTTCCATACACCAAATATAGTTACCTTTTGCATACAGTATTAGAAAAACAGACCAAAACACAAAAACTTAACATTGAGCAATGAACCGTGAAAACTAGGTCCAGGTCAAATAAAATCTACCAGACTGACATGTACATCGTAAAATATTTCCATACACCAAACATAGTTGACCTTCTGCATACAGTATTAGAAAAACAGACCAAAACACAAAAATTTAACATTGAGCAATGAACCATGAAAATGAGGTCAAGGTCAAATAAAACCTGCCAGACTGACATGTACATCGTAAAATATTTCCATACACCAAATATAGTTAACCTATTGCATACAGTATTAGAAAAACAGACCAAAACACAAAAACTTAACTATTACCACTGAACCATGAAAATGATGTCAAGGTCAGATGACACCTGCCAGTTGGACATGTACACCTTACAATCATTACATATACCAAATATAGTAGACCTATTGCTTATAGTATCTGAGATATGGACTTGACCACGAAAACTTAACCTTGTTCACTGATCCTTGAAATTAGGTCGAGGTCAAGTGAAAACTGTCTGACAGGCATGAGGACCTTGCAAGGTACGCACATACCAAATATAGTTATCCCATTACTCATAATAAGAGAGAAATTAACATTACAAAAAATCTTCATTTTTTTTTTCAAGTAGTCACTGAACCATGAAAATGATGTCAAGGACAATGGACATATTACAGATGGAAACTTCATGTCATAAGGCATCTATATACAAAGTATGAAACATCCAGGTCTTCTACCTTCTGAAATATTAAGCTTTTAAGAAGGTAGTTAACGCCGCCGCCACGGCGCTGGATCACTATCCCTATGTCAAGCTTTCTGCGACAAAAGTCGCAGGCTCGACAAAAACCCTGGTATTTTGTTTTTTCAACCAACACCAACAAAGAATATATTTAAGAAAATACTTACCTATTTGTCCCTTTTTCTGAAAAGAACAATAACATAATAATTCGGAATTATAATTTATGCTAATATTTATGAAGCTGTTAAGACACAATTTTTGCTTAGCTCATCAGAGTCATCACCATGAAAATTGAAAAAAAGAATGTCTGTACTCAGTCAAATTTTGCACACGATTTAACATAGGATTTAACGTGAAATGAGCTTCACCATTATGGATTCAGCTTTGTTTTTACCAAACCCATACTCTATCTGCAAGTCACCATTATACACTGATGTACCAAAAATCATTTCAAGATCTTTAGGCATCACAAAAAATAATATGTGTCCATTGTACATCATACCCCACCAACAAACAAAAAGTTTTCAAGTTGATGTGACCATAATTTCATGGTAAAGTACCTTAATCCAAAATTTATACAAACAATATTGTCTTTGTAGTTGTGTATGGTGAAAATTTTGTGTTGTGTAACAATTGTTGTCCAATAATGTAAACATACATTCTGAAGGTTTTTATTGGTGGTGTTTTATCTGTAATTGTCTCCTGGTATGTAAATATGCATATAATTTTCTGTTTGTATGGTAATGGAACAAATCCTTATAGATCCAATGTTTTCTTATTTCTGATGTAACTCTCTTGATAGCCAAACTCAAATATAAATCACAATCCACAAAGTCCCAAATGGTGAGTATTAAGTCAAAAGTAAATTGTAACAAGTCAAAATTTTATAAACTCACCATCAGTGAAATTGAGCATTATGGATCTAAACCAACTCCCTAATAATGAAATGTAAGCATAAGTGATAAAGGGGGTATCTGTGTGTAAACCAAAACATAGTCCCAATAAATCATACTGGCTCAAAGCAGACAGAATTTTCAAATGAATAATATTTATTAATACAATAAACTCAATAACAACATATTTTGGCCCTTGAGAAACACTCAGCATAATTAAGAATTTAGGAGTTCTTGCCGAGCAAGTCAAATAGCAACCTGTAGTGTGAGGAAGAACCTGCCTGTCCGACAATACTCCAGCCGGGAATGTGAAGCGAGGGGTCTCCACGAAGGGGATGAGACTAGGTGTCTCATCTGCAGCCAGGGTGTGTAAGGTCTGCATGGGGGATAGCCCATGTGGTGCTATTACAAGTAGTAAGTAGCAGGGTCTATCAATCTGGCGCTGGAATAAATTTGATAAAATTTGTCCCCGAAATGCTTGGGGATGAATGAAATTTTATACATCAAGGAAAACAAGTTATAAAATAAAAAAAATATCACTGGTAAAAGCTGAGATGTTCCTCATGTCATGAACATTATTGAAGGTGTTTGGAAGGGGTTGGTGGGTGGTAAATTGAATTCCAGCACTGTAAAACTGTTAAGTTGAACTTAGTTTGACTGCTTTGAACCAAGAAACTGATTGCACAAGACCATGCATATGGCTTAACACACAGATTTTGGGTACATCAATCATCTAGTGGGAGGAGACTGAAACCACTGACCTTCAGTTTATATATTCTAATTAATGTGTAATTATTTTTATGAGACTGAAATTATTCTGCCTTTCATCACATACAGTGAATAATTGTAATATGTATCTGATTAAGAATAGATTAGTATGTCCCCTGGTGAGATTGCAGTGTAACTTCAAAGTGTCAAATGCCTGAGAAATTAATCTCAAGATGTAGCAAATGGTCTGTGTATGTTAATTAAATGTATCCAAGATGTCAGCATGCTTACTGGAAAGATTAATTATCAAAGTTGGCTGGAAATATTGTTTGAATAAACAATACTTATATTACATATAAGTAACCTACTTAAGTATGATACTGGATAGATAAAACAGCACAGACCTTTAAACAGTATGACCCCTACTTTCACAGGTGGAGCATAAAAACAGTCTGGACAATTTCAATTTTCTTGAAATATTTTAAGTCCTAGACTGTAAAAAATCAGTCAATCAGGGTGAAATGCAAACTCAATCATTAAGTCCAAATTAAACACAAAAGTACCAAAAATAAGCCCAAGATCAGCAAATACATGTATTACAAAAAATAATCCAAACAGGTATAATTTTCAAGAGATTTTCTGTCCAAAGGCTGTTTTATGTGGAAAGAGGGTCAACACGAAGTAAAGCAAACTCCACATGCAAGTCATCACTATACACTTACTTATGTACCAAAAATCAAATCTTCAAACATAATGAAAACTCACCTGAATTTATTTGCATCTTCAACAATAGCAATTCTACAACATTTGCTCAAAACATGAAAATGGGTAAAATCGTCAATTAAAGGCATAACTTTTGTATGGAGTCAACTGACAATTTCGTCCTTATGAAAATATTTGTAATGCTAGTCCTGTTGATTATTTATCATAATTGAAGTTTCTCTCTATCAATTATAGTTTTCAATATAATAGACATAAACACAAACAAATTGTTAAAAAAAACCCTTCATATAAGGACAATTACTCCTATAAGAAGTTTAATAACGATTTGGACCATGTTGACTTATTTGTAAATCTTGTCTTACTGATCATTTTTGCTGAAGGAAGTTTTTCTCTATCTTTTATAGTTTTTAAGATAATAACCAAAAATAAAAATAAATTGGTAAAAAAAAAAATCTTCATTTAAGGGCAACAACTCTATAAGAAATCTAACATTTTTTGTCAAAATGGACAGTAGTTGATCTTGAAATTCTGAACATTTTTGCAACCATCAGATTTTCGCTTTCTAGAACAGTGATTAAGATAGCACAACTTGCATTTGACCCCTGTGTTAAATTTTTTAGCCATATCAGCTATATTAGTTAGTTTCAGAAGAGGAAATGTTTTGTAAAATCTAAAAAGTGAAGACAATTATTTGCTTTCAGAAGGACAGAATGATGTAAAAGGGCAACACTATATTTCCCTGACACAAAGTGGTTGGGGCATACAAAATATGTGACAATGAGATAACACAATATTTTGTTAATTGTAACCTAAAATCTTTTGAAACTACTCACATTAGTTACTGGGAGTTTTGTTTGTACATCCACTCCCACAAAGGCTGTGTATTTAGATATGATTTTGGCTGCTGTACTTATGATGATGATCTTCTCTTTAGTGTTGTCTATGAAAATAATACAATCTTTCAATAACACAAATTGTATATTATTTTCCAATGATCAGGGACAAATATTCAATCAAATTGTTTTCTAATTGTCACCCCTAAACCATATAAATTCAGACAGTAACGCTTGAACAGTAAAAGTGAATAAACTGCTTCGCTGAGCGCAGCTGGATACGCCCGCAGAGGTCCAACCCTGAACAGTTGGGGCAAAAAAGGACACAATATTCAAGCTTGATGCAGGTCTGAATTTGGATTGTAATTAAACATTTGACATATTATAGGTTTCTGAATAAATGTAGTCAAAGAACTTGAAATTGGTTATATGAATTGAATTTATATTCAATTAAAGATTTCTTGCTGTTGTGCAATACACTATGCTGTTGCGCAATACTTAGTAAATCTGTTGTCAGACTATAAACAAATAAAATTTATAAAATTCTAAAGGGAGCTTACATCAATAGATATAATCAATTCACCAAAGTTTCATAAGAATTGCTGAAAGCATTTTTGAGTTATTGTCTGAAAACTGGAAAATCCCCCCTTTTTTAATGAATAAAACCCCATAACTCGGAAATGTAAAATCTAAAATTTATAAAATTCTAAAGGGAGCTTACATCAATAGATATCAACAATTCATCAAAGTTTCATGAGAACTGCTGAAAGCATTTTTGAGTTATTGTCAGAAAACTGGAAAACCCCCCTTTTTTTTATTAATAAAACCCTGTAACTTGGAAACGTAAAATCTAAAATTTATAAAAATCAAAAGGGAGCTCACGTCAATAGATATAAATAATTCACCAAAGTTTTATGCAAATTGGTTAAAGCGTTTTTGAGTTAATGTCCGAAATATTGACGACGGACGGACAGAGGTATACCATAATACGTCCCGTAAACGGGCGTATACAAATGACTAAAAAGAATCTTAGTCTGTTGTAAGTGGTTCTATACATCTCATTTAAATTCCATTCCATCAAACATTTTCTTTTATTTATGATTTAGAAAACACCAAATTTTGAACCCTGCAAATGAACAATGATAAATGTCAGCTAATAAATATTGAAATATTTCTGTAGACTATTACCTGATAATTGACCATTTTCTAGCTCTTTAATTTGGTGTTTTGCAGCCACACGATGAATTGGCAAATCTGGATGTAAATAAGATGAGGCTTTGATATCCATAGTATGAGCCAGTTGTTTTCCAGAAATGAAACCTTTCAGAGTTACTGACCCTTCAACAGATTTCTGAAAAGAGATGCAAGCAAGTTGAAACAAACAAAAACGTATATATGATATATGATACAGGTACTGATAAATAATATAAATTAATGATAATAATGTTTTATATGAATATGGATATTAAAGGTAAGACTTGATATAAGTCTTCCAAGTGCAACATGTAAGCAGCTAAATAGAAATTCCAATATAAAACATCACTGATACATAATCAGAAGATGATTTCTATAAAAGTTAAAACAAAAATCATGAACTAAGAAGGAATTTTGAATATCTCTTTTAAAATGGAAAATAATGAAACTCATGGCTCTTTTCACATGCAATCTATTTATCTATAATTCATTCTAGAAACATTTAATTGGTTGCATCATTAGAAGTATAAATGTCACATATATAATACTCTTGATATTGAGTTTCAATTCAAATAATTCTATATGCACACACAATTTCATAACAATAAAATAAAACGACCTAACTAAATAAACTAAAATATAAAAAAAGACAACCACTGATGAAGTTGAGATCATATGACAAAATCACAAATGCTGATTGATTTAGGCAAAAGTTCATAATGGCCAATGGTTCAATACAAAAAAGCATTAGAAATTAAAATAACGGGTTGATTATCAAATTAAATAGAATATTGCAGAAGTGTAGTTTTGTCTAGTCTTGTTAAATTCCTTCAAACAAATACCAACTGTTAAAAAAGATTAATTTACTGATTAGTCAATGATAATCACCGCTTTATTTGTATTCTGAAGAAGAGCAAAAATGGAAAGTCTATCTCCATTAAATACATTAGGTTGTTGTGAAGGGATGTTTGTAGCTGTGCATCCTTTAGGAAGATTCCATTCCAAAACAATATCTGCCAAACTGTCTTCCATGGAAAACTCTAAAGCTCTAATCACCTATAAAATGAAAGTAACACTTTAATTTTTTAGGGTCAGAAGTGCTTTTCTGGATTAACATTCATTATTATTAATTTATTATACTGTTAATTCAGAAATTATAGCGTGCATTTATTATTGTGATTTTTGAAGAAAAAACAAAAATGAAAGATTAATTATTGCAATTTTAAGAAAATCTGAACCCAGTTGTAGTATTGGATATCAGAGTGCAAGTTCTTATTATTGCAATTCTCTACCAGTCGCATAATTTGCATTAATAAAACCTCACAATAATTTCTGAATTTACAGTATTCATATTGAAATTACTATTTGTATTGTTATTTTTCCTGGCACTTTACCAGCTCTAGCTGAGAAGTTTTCATCACAATGGGTATTGTGTATGGAGTACATATAAACATTGCAAGATTGATCTTGGCTGATAGAAGATGATTTCATGTTGACGTAATTTGTTCTAAAAACATTAGGTCTTTATTGATTAACCATCTCAATAAAGGGATCATGCTCAAACCAATACTGTAAATACACAAGTCGTAGAGATCTGGAACATTTCTATTTCTATTGTGTGATCTTTGAATTTAACATTAGTGTTACTGGATGTCATGGCCATTTTCGTAATTTTCAATTTTCGCTTCTTAATACACAACAGGGTAGGAAACTCACTGGAAATGTCTACCAGACCACAGGGCTGGCTGCATAAAAAAATTACCTGTCCTGATCAAAATTTACCAGCCCTGAAAATTAATGCAATAAAAATCCAACCCATTTTCCTTCAAGATTCTAAATTATGTTTTTGTGTTTTGAGATGTTTTAATGACTAGAAGTATTATTAGAAAAACTTGAGGATTTTTTGTGATGAAAATGACTTATGACTGCTTTTGTAAAACACACTGCAACAAGAGTCAAGACTTACAAGTGCACATTTAAGCAGACACTGCTAAGCCTAATTACCATTTGTTCAGAAGCAAGGTGTGATTTCATTTTTAGAATTTGGGGTGGGCACTGGGGGTGTTAGTTTGTCTTCAGTGTAATTCAGCATGCCTTTCTTTGTACCTTTGTTCCACAAAATTACTTTTAAGCAAATAAAAATAAAATTTTGGTTTCATTTATAATTTTATTGCTCCTCATTTTCAAAATATTTGAAACTCAGTCAATGTCACTCCTGTCACTACCAGTACCAATCTCATCACCAGAATAAAATCCCTCCTCCATGTCAGAAAAACAAGAATCATTGTCAGAGTCAGCAGCTTTGTCAGGGCAGGCAGCAGCAGTTTCCAAATTATCTACAGTATTTGTAAGTTCTTGTGTTTCATCCTCAATGACATTCATTATTTCTTCCATCTGTTGAACAACAGTTTTTTTCACCTTTTTTTGCATGAAGTTTGGTCGTCTTCTAGCCCCTTGTTCCATTGGTGGATTGCATGTTCAGGGTTAAATTGTGTAATTGGATCTGAATGCAATTGTATTGTCATCAGTAATGTCATTGATGTAGACTTCAGTTTATTACGCCATTGGTTTTTGATAATTTTCATTTGTGAGAATCCCCTCTCACATTCTGATGTTCCTGCTGGTAGACTCAACACTAGATCTATTACATTCAGTGCATTGGCACACTTGTCTTGGTACAGATCATTGATTGTGCTCCAATTCATCTCATGGACTTTATGACTGAAAATAGATACATAGCCATAAAATATTTAAAACAATGTGTTTTGACATACAGCAATTATCAATATCATTGCATGAATCATGAATAGAGATGGTATAAGCAATTTGGTTGACTTTTCAAAGCCCTTTATCTGTAAAACAAAAAATACTTGAACATTTTTTTTTCACCAAAACTCAGCATTTTTGACATTTAATACTGAATTCTAATTGCAGTTTAACTCACTTTTTATATAATAGGTTCTTTAATATTGTCCACTCTGGTTCTATGTTGCTTACATCTACACCATCAGTCTGATCCAATAACTGTCTATAGTGGTCAACCAGATTGCTCACCATTTCATCACCAAACTCTGCAATAGATAACACTTCCAATTTCAAATCAAATTTGCAAATTTATTAAATGAAATTGAAAATCTGCAATGTCAAAGATCTGTGATTGTAATCTGCAAATACATTAGGTACATGTACTTAGAAATAACAAACTGTCTGGAAATTTGGAACTGCTGCTGTAGCACAGAGAAAACTGTATATTTAGTCTATATGGTTCACCAATATCTATCTTTATTTTCAGGTTTGTAGAGAAATCAACATTTCAAGGAGTTTGAAAATTAATTTCTGTTTGCAAAGCATTATAAAATATGACTTTAATAAAAACAAAAATCAGCATGATAGTGTTAATTAAGAAATTAATTTTTAAAAGAACAGATCTGCCCTGATTTTTTCAAATATACCAGGTTCGTTATCAATAGTTGCAGGCCATGAGGCTAAATCAGCAATCTTGGTAGCTTGTTTTACACCTTCTGTTACATCCTTAAACCTCTTTTGAAGACTCTCAACCAAAGCTTTTAAGACCTTTACTGTTTGGCCCTCACAATCATCATTTCCCACAAGGAGTTCACCTTCAAATTTGCCATCATTACTAATAATTTCTCTAACTTTCCTTAATTCTGGACCTGGCCTATAAAAAAGTTAGCTGTGAATATTAACACGAGTCCATGATCAACAAAAAACAATCTGTCAATCATATGCAGATATATAATTAGTGCATTAGGTTTTTAGTGAGATATATAGACAAAGCAGATTATTATATATGCATATATTACATGAGGTAAGACGTATTAAAAGCACACGATATAGAAGTGTATTAAAAGCATATGATATAGAAGTGTATTAAAAGCATATGATATAGAAGTGCATTAAAACAATATGGTATACTCTACATGGTTAATAGACTAAGGTCTAATTGTTTGTCCTTTCCTAAGAACTGCACTGTAAGAAGTGAATGACACTTGAAAAAAATAATAAAAGATTATTAAAACATGTAAGTGATATCTGGATAAGTTTCAATAAAAAAGTTATTGGTAAAGGACAAACAAAGAGAAAATGAAGCTGATAATGTGCAAGCCTGCATTATGTTTAAAGCTGAATAGAAATGAACCTTGCTTCTAGTTTTTGTATATTGGCTATGGTACACTCTAGATCCTGGTGAACTTCATAAAGGCAAGTAGCTCTCTGCTGCAGGCACATGGAAAGCTTGGTCAGTACATTGACAACATCATTAATGAAATGGGCAAATACAATAACACTCTTGCTTCTGAGAAGTTTAAGAAGATACTTTGCCTTGGATTGTGTAGCACTCTGAGTGTTGTGTAATGAAACCTGAAAAGGAAATGTGTACATGTAGTATATAAGTAATGCACAGACTCAGACTACCAGTTAAGAGGGAATGAGTTCATAGAAAATCAAAAGAAAGCTAAAGCATAAAATATAAAAAATACTGTCTTCATTGAAAAATTCACTTGGCAAAGTATAAATATAAAATCATTGTCTGATGTATGAGAAAAGTATTACAAACCTTACATGTATGGTACTCATTTTTTAAATATAAAATAAATTGAAAAATCATGTAAAATTAAAAATACCAATTTTGCTGCATCAGTGAGTGAGTGACCAGATTTGGCAGATGCACATAGCAACAATTAATGTCTCTTCAGTGATGCTCGAAGCCGAATTATTTTTAATTCTAAATCTAAGTGCATTGACAATTCGTTATGGTTACCTGTCCAAGATGAGTGACAAATGCAGGATATCCCTTCCAGAGACTGTTTAGGGCAGTCTGAACATGTCCTAACCATCGGGTACCACCAATCCTTGTTGGCATTGTCTGTTTGATCTTGAGTGCGGTAAAGGTCTGCTTCAAGTTGCTTGTCTGTTTAGGACTTTTGTGGTAAAATTTAAACAGATCATCTAGGAGACTAAAGACTTTAGTAAAAACTGGAGCTACCTAAAAGTGGATTTTTGGAATTATTTTGGATTATTAGAGAGCTACATAACTATTGTAAAATTTTTCATGTATTACTGTTATGAAGATGACATAATGTTGAAGAATGAAGTATTATTTAAATTTAATTTATAATGTATTTTATTGTTGTGGCAGTGTAAGATTGATACACAAAATGATAAAAATTGGAGGCTTTAACAGAAAAACCAGAAGTTGTAAATAATAATGTTTGGATTGCATTTAATCTAGTCAAACGTACCTCAATTAACAGTATACTAGTAAAGAACATACCCTTATTAGAAAAAGAATAAAGTAAGAATAAACACAAGACAAACCTAATAATTTGTTCTTTTTATACCTTGAAAGCAGTTTTGTATGCAAGTTCAATTCTATGTGACATGCACTGGACCATGACTACAGAAGAGGAAGCATTTTCTCGAAAATGTGCAATAACACCATTCAGCTGTCCCGTGTTCACTGATGCGCCATCCCCAGCAAATCCTACGGTTCTCTTAAGAATATCATTGACCGTCAAGTTCTTGAAATTCAAAGCTTGTAGAATTGCTGCATATATTCCTTTGGAATCAGCAGACTCACACTGAATGAGCCCAAGGAAATAGCAGTAGGCAATACCTCTATGCGCAAAATGAATGTAGACAATTTCATTTTCAATAACGGAAACATCAGTGGATCCATCAGACATAAGGGTATAAAATTTGGCTAGTTCAATCTTTTCCTCAATTTTACCCCTTTCAATTTCCGAAATAGCAACCAGAAATTCTTTGCAACTTTTGGTGTTTCTGTAGGTGTCTCCTAAGTCAATACCCTTTTGGATGTCAAGCTCACATTGCCATGTATAATCAGAAATAGGCCGTGACTTTTTCGCTACGGCATGTACATTCCTAAATAGTTTTTCAAGTCTATGAAATGATGCCTTGTTGAGGGTTTGTACTGTTTTTTCAGCTACACTCTCTCCTGTTGGTTGTCCTCGATTTTTCAGAAATTCAACTGCGTAGTTGTGGCCATTGGATTTTGCATGTGTAGTAAGGGCATCGTGCCTTAAATTTGAACAACCAACTACAAACGGGCCTTTTGCATATCGCCGAAATCTTTCAGGTACTTTTCTGACTGCCAAGGGCCCATACGCTGAACGGCATGGTTGACAAAATATTTTACCATGCGAGTCGTCACAAATCAACCACTCAAACTCCGTTTTCCAACCAGGAACAATTATCCGCTTCCTCTTAGACTGATCATACAATTTATTTTTTTCTGTTGAGTCAACAGCAGTTCGCTTTTTCGGCGACAAAAGGCCCAAGTACTGTCGTAAAGACATCGAGTTTACCAAAACAAATTTATTTATATATATTTATTTTTTATTTAATAAACGCGATCGCGATTGGACGATTCGATACCAACAAGCCAATGAGTGCGGATCTTACAAACAACAGGTATCACCATGTTCCCTGCAGAAATCGTGTGGAAACACGTGGTAGTACAAGGTTAATTGGCAGTCATGTTTCTTACGTGCTGTTATGAATGGGGTAATACTGAGAACTCATTCCAAAAATAGAAAAAGGTAATCCTAGCCACCTTCAAAAAATAGACCGTCCACCGGACTATTGAAATTTAATTTTTGACCGCCCGATCGTAAAATAGGCCGTCTCGGGCGGTCGGGCGGGCTATAATTTCCAACTCTGTACACAATGTTCCCTGAAACATATAAATGAGGAAAAATGTGCAATGTAAAAAATGCTAGATTCTTCAATACCATAGGGTGTATGTGAACTTTAAAAGAGTGTATAGAGTTATCATTCTGACCTATGTTTCAGTACTGACTAATGACAAATTTTTAAAGTCATCCAAACCTTGGCTTTCATGTTGTCTTTTTCATCTTTGATAAATGTTGCTCTTCCTGCACCAGCTTTAGCTACATTTTTGATCAGACTTGTAGAAGCTCCATGACCAACTCCAAATGTAAATACTCTGTAATAAATGGAATAAACTCATCTATTGATACAAGTACAATATCTTGTTCATGATTATAAATATATAAAGTAGAATTACCATTAAAAAGGGATAACAGGAATTTCCAATACCCTGCACAGTACAATGACCAAAGCCGGACTCCTCACAAAAATCAAAGTGCTTGTGAGTACTGTGGGTAAAGATTGCTTTAATTCTGCAATGTGAACCCATTTAAGGTAATATCTAAAATTGAAGTTATCTTCCTTTGTTCATAATTGTAGTTGTCATAAACAACAAAAAATTATCTGAATTGTTATTCTATCAAAGTAAACAAGATTGCAACAGAGTAGCCAATATCCTCTACCCATATAATGGAATTTCCCACATCACTTATATCTTAAAGGGGCATATCTCTAGTGATAATTATAGATACACAATACTTCTAATGTAAACCTTAATCATAACTGATGAGAAATGTAAGTGTGAAAGGGCAGACATTATTGATTATTGCTAACATTTCAAAGGGATATAAAGTCCACAATAATGTTCACTCAACCCTGATTTCGAACTCATATGAAATATTGCTATGTAAATTATTGTCATAAATTTCATACAATTAAAATTAGAAAAATTACGGGGGAGGGCAATTGAAATATTGATTTTCCATTTAATTTACTCATACAAAGAACATAAGCCCCTTAAAAATAATTGATCATGGCTTACTTTCAACCTCATTTGAAATATTGCTAATTTTAAACATTTGACATAAGCTTCATCTAACTTCCAATTGGACATGTCATGTGTGCACTTACAATGTAAATTTTCAATATTATCTACTTTTCCAAGAGGCATAATCACCCCAAAAATATTTGATCAACTCTTGATGTTTTAACTCATCCAAGAAATTGCTGATGAAAACCTTTGAAATTCCTTTCATTAACTCAAATAGTACATAGGAATGAGAGCACATGAAATTTTAATAATTCAATAAACTTACATTTAAATTAAGGTCCCAATAAAATAATTTAGGATTATTGGCATGAGAGCACTTACAATGGAGATTATTATTTACATTTTTAATGGCAAAGCTCCCTAAAAAATATCAGTCCTGATTTTTTTATAATTTCCCTGAGGTATTGCTGAAGTAAACCTCTGACATAAATTTATTTAAAATACATTTGATAGAGATTTCACAAACTTAGAAAGACATCAGTATTTCCATTTCCCTGCTCTGCTTTAGTAGAATGCCATCAATAACTGAATTATATATACCAGCAGTTTTTGAAATTATTAAAACATTTTTTGGTTTCCAGTGGTTGTCTAAATTTCCCAGACCATTATCCCAATTGGCCTCTTATTACCAACAATCAATCAAACAACTTCTTGAAAATTTATTTTCAGAAATCATAACTTATCATATGTACTCATTATTTAGCAATATGAAGCACACCATTATACATTAAATGTTTTTATTTACTTGTTTAGACAATACCCCACCTTGAATTATGAGAATTTTGTCCAACTAGATTTACAACATCTTCAGTATTACCAACTTCACCATCTGTTAACAGAAAAATCTGAAAAAGAAACAATTTACTTTTAAATTGAAAAATACTAGATCTTGGAGAACTTTTTACAATTACACAATATAGCTAAGGCCAACTAAGATTAATTAGTAGACTGGCATACAAATAGGAAAAGGGCAATAACTCCTATAAGAAACATTTGACAGTTTTGAAGTAAATAGACAATAGGTGGATCTCATCATTTTGAACATTTCTGCCTTTTCAGATTTACTCTACTGAGAGCAGATTATAGATCAAACTTGCATTTTACAATTACCTCTATGTTTTATTTTAAGCCAATTCGGCCGTGTTGGTTGTGGGCAGGGTCGTCAGACACATTTTAAAAACTAGATACCCTAACGATGATTGTGGCCAACTATAGTTAATTTTTACCCAATAGTTTCAGAGGAGAAGATTTTTGTAAAAGTTAACAATGACAGACGGCAAGTGATGAGAAAAGCTCACATGGCATTTTAGGGTATATCTGACTATAGGTTGGTTGACTTTTTGTAATCAATATACCGTCCTAAAGTAAACAGTGTAAATTATCATTGCATAAGTTCGTGCTTGTGTCAATTTCTTTATTCCAGTCATGTTATTTATACCAATGTATGTCACAGTTCTTGCCCTTTTGATACTATTCACAGTCCAAATTTTCTGACACAAAGTCACTGTGGTTTTCTAATAACTGAAAATTGTGACATACCGTGATTTGTGTTCTTTAACATGTTCATTACTCATTACCCGAATATTTCAGGTCCTTCTCAACTACTTTATCTTCCAACATCACAGAGTAGCAGAATATATTGACTTATGCATTATTTTGGTTATATATACTAGAAGAAATACAAAAACCGAATTTTGTAACAGGATGTTTTGAACTAGGAGCCTGTGTTGCTCACCTTGGTCTATGTGCATATTCAACAAAGGATACTCTCCAATATTGTAGTCGAGAATAGAATTCATGATAAAAATCTCTGTCGATTTTGTACTGCTGATCATTTAGTTTGTTTAGTTTCTCTCTATCTTCTTTAGTTTTTGCTCAAAACACAAAAGAGGGTAATTAAAAAATCCTCATTTAAGGACAATGACCCCTATGAAGAATGACAGTCTACTTTCTGAATCTGCAAAATTAACTTGAATTAGTAGATCTTGCCTTACTGGTCACTTCTGTGATTTAAAGTGTCTATGTATCTATCATATAAGTCAAAACGCAAGAAAAATGGTAAAAATCATCATTAAAGGGCAATAACTCCAATAAGGAGTCATCAGACAATTTCCTCAATATGTCTTAATTGTAGATCTTGTCTTGCTGATAATTTTTGCTTATTTAAGTTTCTATCTATCTATTATAATTTTTAAGTTATAAGGCAAAAAACGCAAAAAAAAAGGAAATATCGTCATCGAAGAGCAATAACTCTAAAAAGTAGTGGACTGACAATTTCGACCATGCAGTCTTATTTGTAGAACTTGTCTTGCTGATCATTTTTGCAATTTAAAGTTTCTATCTATTATATTTTTCAAGATAATAAACTAAAATGAAAAAAATTATAAAATTTGTCATTTAAGTGCAATGACTCCTATAAGTAGTCGTCTGACAGTTTTGACATAAATGGACAATTGGAAGAGCTCAACATTTTCTCTATTGATAAAGGTATTGAAAATACTAGACAGAACTTGCATTTTACCCCTATGCTTTATTCTTAGCCATGTCGGCCATCTTGGATGGCGAGCGGGGTCATCAGACACATTTTTCAAGTCCAATGATGATTGTGACCAAGTTTGGTTAAATTTGGCCCAATGGTTTCAGAGAAGATTTTTGTAAAAGTTAACGATGACTGGGAACAGACGACAAGTGATGAGAAAAGCTCACTTGGCTCTTTGGGCCAGGTGAGCTAATAAAATGAAATTATCGACGTGGTTAATGGAAACGAAAATGAGTAAACCTGGAAATCATAAATTTTCCAAATAAAAAAAAGCATGCAGGGTGATTCCAGAGGGGCGGTAGGGATGAATTCTATCAATTGATTTTAATAGACCTTATACATCTATTTTTGTCTTGACAACATATTTATTCTGGAAAGAATTATACACATGGTTTAGAGATCACTGGCATTCTAAAAGAACCCTATAAAATGCAGGCATTTCCTATTATTAGGTCTTTCCACTTTTCCCTGGAAAGACCTTTTGCTTTTGTTCTGATTATTTTTTTCTTCCGCCTAATTTTTTTCTTGCGCTGTATTGATGTTTCAAAGGATGTCGCTTAAATATTTTGTATATGATATTGTACAGTTTATACCCTTTTGAAGCTGATCCTGTTTAATTGAACACTTTTCTTTGTAAGAGTTATCTCCCCAAACGCTGTTTTTCTTGTTATGAGATCTCCTTTGCAACCGTAAAAGAAAGCTACAAATTTATTTTTCCAAATTGCTCGTTATATCCTCAGAATGTTATGTTTAATTTTGACGGAAGTCTTACGAAGGGTCCATATGAGACTTATTCCCCCTTATGTATTTGAAATAAGTGATATGTATTTATAACTTGTAAACCATAAGTGATAGAGACCTAGGGTGTTTTGATTTGAGGTCCTTGGTCCACTAAAAGAAAAATTGGGTCAAGGTCAAAGGTCAAGGTCATGTTCTAAATTTTGATTTTAACTTATTATCAGAAGCCGTATAAGATATCGACAAAATATTTTTACTAAATTGTTATACTCGACATGTTGTCACACATAATTTTTGGTTGAACGGGTACATTGACATAAAATGGTAGTTTTCTCCCCTCTCATATTTAAAACTAGCTGTATGGTGATATAACTCATTAACCATGTAGAGTACAGACCTAGGGGTCTTTTGATTTTAGGTCGTTAATTGATGACCTTGAAATTTAAGTCAAGGTCATAGGTAAATTTGACGTTCTAGATTTTGACCTTTATATTTGTAAATGATAGAGCCATGGGACTTCTTGCATTAGGTTGACCTTGAAAAAGCCAATCAGAAGTGACCTTGTGTGAACCGGAAGTAGCTATTTTTTGTACTTATTTGATGTAAAAGTATATAGAACCATATATTTTGGGAATCAGTGTCAAGAAAACTATCATATTATACCGGAAGTGACATTTTTGAAACTGGAAGTAACAAATTATCTCCCTTATTTCTAAAAGAAGTGTATTGAAACCATATATTTTTGGAATCAGCGCACAGTTAGCTATCATCTGACACTGGAAATGACATTTTAAACTCGATTTTTATATTTTCTTATCAAAATACATGTTTTATGGGGTGGAAAGACCTTCAATTGTTCTCTGAACAATTGGTTTTTATTTTTTTTTTTTATAATTCTAATTCTATATCAAGTAGACCTGTCTTGGATAGTCTTTATTATTCTCGATGCTATAGATTGCTGATAATGGAGATAAAATCTCTGTTCCACCCATGTTGGCCATCATTTCATTTTGATGATGTTTTGCAGCAGCAAGACTTTCTTTATTATATTGTTGACTTCTGAAAAATATAGAATATTTTGATGACTTAACTATAAACAAGATTTCCATGGATTTGATCCATGCTGATTTTCAAATTTGTCTAAAAGTATTGCTTACAAAAATCTCATTAGACTATGATGAGAAATGTAGGTGCCAAAAAGCTTACAATGTTGATTTTCTATTTAATTTACGTTTCAAAGGGCGAAACTCCCAATTATTCAATCCATGCTGCCTTTCCAATCCTTATGAGATACTGTTGATGTTATCCTTCAACATAACTTTTATCAATACCCTTAGAAATGTAGGCAGGAGAGCCTTTACAATGTTCATTTTCCATATTATTTTTCATTTCAAAAGTGCACAAACTCCACCCAAAAATATTCAATGTGTGCATATTTCACAACTTGTCATTTATTCCTGGTACAAACCTTTGAAATAGATTGAACTCTTATGAATAATGCAGACAAAAGAGAACTTATTAATTTGGACATACATATCTTTAAAATTCAATATGTGACATCAGTGAATTTGCACTTATATAAACAACATGACGGATGTTATATGTGGAACAGGATCTGCTTACCTTTCCTGAGCACTTGAGATCACCCCTGGTTAATGGTGGGGTTCTTCTTAGTTTTTCTCTAGATTTCTATGTTTTGTTTTGTAAGACTGTCTTTTGGTTTGTTTTTCATTTTTCACCACAACATTGTTAGTTTGGTCAACAGATGTTACTAGAGGAACAGTACAAGCTTATAATTCATGAAAACACGAATTTCCCCTGGTTTTTAGTAGGGGCAGGCATTGCCCAATCTTAAGATTCATGTGTAATATTCTATGGACCATTGGCATCATACGTTACCGATAGTTCAATACTTACCTGTCAAACAAAAAACTGTAATCACTTCCAAATGATACAATATTAAAAAGACATCCAACAGGTAAACTCTTCAAGAAAAGGAGTAATGCTGCTTTAGACTTCTCCATTCTATCTCCATCCATACTACCTGTATATGTAAATGTAGAATTATAACATGCTCAACATTATGCAACAACAGCAATAATAACTTAACAACATGCCATATTCAAACTATCACTACCAAGTTTCTAGAAAAGCCAATTTGTAGTTCCTGAGTAAGATAAACCAGTACAGTCCCTCCACCTTTGGAGCAAGGGGTATAATAACTAGAGGCTCTAAAGAGCCTGTGTTGCTCACCTTTGTCTATGTGCATATTTAACAAAGGACTCTCTCCAACATTGTAGACGAGAATAGCATTCATGACAAAAATCTCTGTTTTGTTGATCTTGTATTACTGATCATTTAGTCTGTTTAGTTTCTCTCTATCTTCTTTACTTTTTGCTCAACACACAAAAGAGGGAAAAAAATCTCATTTAAGGGCAATCATTCCTATGAAGAGCGACAGTCTACTAACTATATCGGCAAAATTTGACTTGTTAGTAGATCTTGCCTTGCTGATCATTTTTGTGATTTAAAGTGTCTATTTATCTATTATAATTTTTATCATAAAAGGCAAAACTCAAAAAAATTGGTAAAAATTGTTATCAAAGGGCAATAACTCCAATAAGGAGTTGTCAAACAATTTCCTCAAAATTGTCTAATTTGCAGATCTTATTTTGCTGATCATTTTTGCTTATTTAAGTTTCTATCTATCTATTATAATTTTTAAGATACAAGGCAAAAAAGCAAAAAATTTATATAAAAATCATCATCCAACGGATATAACTGTAATAAGGAGTCGACAGCCAATTTCGACAATGAGACTTGTTTGTAGAACTTATCATGCTGATCATTTTTGCATTTTAAAGTTTCTCTGTATCTATTATAGTTTCCAAGATAATAGGCAAACATGAAGAAAAAAAATTGTAAAATATGTCATTTAAGGGCAATAACTCCTATAAGAAGTTGTCTGACAGTTTTGACGTACACAGACAATTGCTAGCTCTCAACATTCGAAACGTTTTTGCAGATTTTCTCTTTTTATAACGGTTTTCAGAAATAGACAAAACTTGCATTTTACCCCAATGTTCTATTTTTAGCCATGTCGGCCATCTTGGTTGGCAGGCGGGATCATCGGACACATTTTCAAAACTAGATCCCCAATGATGATTGTGGCTAAGTTTGGTTAAATTTGGCCCAGTAGTTTCAGAGGAGAAGATTTTTGTAAAAGTTAACGATGATGGACGACAACTACGGACGATGGACGCCAAGTGATGAGAAAAGCTCACTTGGCCATTTGCTCCAGGTGAGCTAAAATTTAAGACAAAACCTTAAAATTTACTGATTGCTTTTTTATTTTCTCTAAGCTTGTTTACAAGATAATCAATATCTCTGTAACTGGTTTAAATTATGTTTGTGCTTTATTAAAAACAAGAGGCTGTCAGAGTGACAGCAAACCGGATTTTCCTGCATAGGTCAAACACTGCACAGTTGAGCAAGTATGGACACAACATTTAAGCTTATAACAGCTCTGAATTTGGATTGTGATTGAATATTTGACACAGCATAGGTTTGTGACCCAAAATGAATGTAGTCAAAGAACTAAAAAATTTGAAATTAGACATTTACCTATTATGGTTCAATATTCAAAATCTAAGTATATTGTAAAAATTAGCATATCAAAGAACCCCAAGAATTAAATTTTTTATGAAATACTCATTTCTGTTTAAAGGGAAATAACTCAAAATTCATATAATAACTCAAATTCATATAATCAATAATCATAATAATAAACAACCAGTGATGACTAAATACTCTAAAATTAGATATGATGCAATCACTAAAATATTGTTAGAATCAGCATATCAAAGAACCCCAATTTTTGATGAAATTAAACAAAAGGTTTAATTTAGGACCCTTTGGACCTCAATGTGATATTATCTAATTAATAATGAAAATAAATAAAGGTTTAGATTCAGCATTTCAAAGAACCCTATATATTTTCAATTAATGTTGAAATCAAACACAGTTTAATTGTGGACCCCATTTGGACCAATTTGAAAACTGGGCCCAAAATCAGAAATCTAAATATATGTTTATTAATAGACAATATAAGCTTAGTTTTTAAAGGAGCTTACTTCAACAAAAAAATATATAAAGCATTCAGAAAATTAATTTTTACAGAATAACAAACAAACCTACCACAAAATTCTTCAAACAATTTACCAAAGAAAAGAAAAAATATACAAAGCATTCAGAAAATTAGTTTTAACATAATAACAAACAAACCTACCACAAAATTCTTCAAACAATTTACCAAAGAAAAGAAAAAAAAAATCAAAATTTTATTTTTCATTAATACAATGTCTTTTAAAAATCTATAAAACCTTTCTGTAATTATCTTCAAAATGTCTAATAATGAACAGTAAATTTCTAACTTTATTTATACAGTCCTATATAGCTTATAATCATCAACACTTAGAAAACAGAAAATTTTCAAATAAATCTGTCAATCCAATTATAATTGTGTGAGACATTTACCAGATGCTCTTATCTATCAACAGGTGAAAATTAGTCATGTTAGTGTAATCAAACCTTATATATATAATTAACCATTGCTGTTCAATGAGAAATAACTCAATTACATTAAAAATACCTCTTTTGGATATTAAAAAGGGCAATAACTCAACAAGGGGAAAAGCTAAAATCAAAAATTGAACTTGACCTTCATTTAGTCACAGGTAACATCATATCTAAATTTGAAAAAAAATTGTCCAAGCGTTTTCATGTTATTGAGGAGACACTGTTTGGCAGCCGCCCGTCCGCCCGCCGTACATCCCCAAATCAATAACCGATATTTCCTTCGAAAATCCGGTTAATAAAATGCTCCACAGGACCCTTTGAACCTCAATGTGGATCAATTTGATAATAGGGTTCAAAATCCAAAATCTAAATACACAGTTAGATTCAGCATATTCCAAAATCCAAAATCTAAATACGGGTACACAGCAGGGCTTCCAAAACGGTCATATATTCCGGACTTGACCGAAACATTCATAAAATGACCGGCTGCTCTCAGCCTCAAACGGTCAAATAGAATTGGTGTGCCACATTTTGTTATTCAAGGCATTTTCATGAAACGGTCATTTCAATTTTTACCAACTATCGATCGATAAAAATGTCCGTTTGGGGCTTTGGGCATGTCCGTTTGGGCATTTTAGTTTATAATTGTGGCAATCTATTTCACAAAGATATTTCGGTCATAATTGGGTTTAATAAAACAGAAGCAGCATATTTCAGATACTTTGAAGTGTCTCAGTTAGTCTAATCCTCTGGGTACATAAATGTACGGCTTGGTCTTTAGCTTGTGTACATCAATAAAAAGTAGAAAAAACACGTTTTCTTTTATTTAAATAACACCAAGCTGTCAAACAATTATCCCTTCAATAAGTTATATTGAAGCCATAAATCATTCACTGATTACAGGTTTGTTACCTTTGATGAGGTGTCCTTAGCTTGTCTTTATCAATAGAATTAATGATGCATAACAATGTACATAAAGGTAATCAGGTAAACGAGGTCAAACATGTAAGCGTGTAAGGAACAACATCCTATTTAATTATGATTTATAGATATTATTTTAAATGAGCATCCAGTTTAAAACAGTATCCTGATATTTAAAAGTTATTCTTCAAATAAGGATATTTATAAATGAATAAGTATGATATATATTATTTTATTTAACACTGTACATCGTGTTAAATACTGGGGTACTCTCGAGGGGAAAATTTACTAAAATATATAGGAAAAACACCGAGAATAGCTTCGCTTGGGTATACCAAGCTGAGTTGTCCAATAAATAAGGGGGGCGTTCTCTATTCTTGTTTTCATTTTAAAAACTGTTTTTATAATTAAAATCATAAAGAATAATATCCAATCATGACAATCTCCGACTGTTATAAAGACTTTGTCTCAAATTGAACTTTACAAATCTGCCATCATGGGCAAACGTAAACGTGACGATTCCGATCAAAACTCGAAATCTGCTAAAAATGCTAGAAGCTTTATTCATAAATGGTTACAACTGTTTTTATGGTTAAGATTTGACAGTATGCTAAATGCCATGTTTTGTGACATTTGTCAAAAACATAAACTTAAAAATAACTTTGTAAAGCCTGGTTCGACAAATTTTCGAAAGTCAGCCGTTGTAGAGCATGCTAATAGCAATGACCACGTTCAAGCTCTTAAATTAGAGACAGCTTCCAAAAGTAATCCAATTGTATCAGTATTTGAGAAAGTTCATGAAAAGACTGACAACGCAATGTGCACCTTGTTCCGTAATGCTTACTTTATTGCTAAAGAAAACTTACCAATGGACAAATTTCAGTCAATAAATGATTTAACTAAGTTAAATGGTGCCGTGATCACTTCTAAATTATATCAAGAGAACAATGCCTGCTCCGAATTTATTCAGACAATTTCCGATGTTATAGAGAAAGAGGTGATGTCCGACGTAAAGTTAAGTCCCGCCGTGGGAATTATGATCGACGAGTCAACTGATCTGGCTACGCAAAAACATTTAATTTTGTACTTATCATACCTCAAAGCTGGTGAACTGAAAATTAGTTTTACAAAACTTTTGAACTTGTCTTCTGGTACCGCCGTGTCAATTACTGCACATATAATTGCCTATTTAAAGTCATTTGGTGTAGACTTGTCTAAAATATTCGGCATGGGGTCTGACGGTGCGTCGGTTATGATAGGAAAGCATGGAGGTGTATCTCAGCTTTTAAAAGACACTTCTCCACACTTAGTAGAGGTTCATTGCGTAGCTCACCGCCTAGCATTAGCCTGTGTCGACACGGCAAAAGAAATTCCGGACATTAAATTTTTAGAAAGCATTGTTAGCACTGTATATTCGTATTACAAACGTTCACCCACAAACCTTGCCGAACTACGATCATGGCAACTAATAATAGATGATCCTTTGTTAAATCCGCTTGATATTCATAAAGTCCGCTGGCTTTCTATGGGAAACGCTTTAGACAATCTCCGCCGTTCTGTTGTCTCCATTGTAAACATGTTAGGCGACCAGAGTGACACCGACATCGTGGCTAATTCTCTTCACAACAGTATGACAACATACAAGTTCTTTTTCATGCTCTACTTTTTATCCGACCTGTTTGGTAAAATTAATCAGCTCAGCAAATCACTTCAAAAACGTGACTTGTCTTATGCCACCGTGAAACAATTAGTTGACTCTTTTCTTATGGCAATAGAGGCCGAGTACTTAACCGAGATTCCTTCATTTGGACCATTATGTGCCGAATTTCTAAAATCAACAGACCAATCTGACAGCTTCAACACTATCACCTTTAAACGTAACAACCGTGACATTCATCTCAAGACAAGAGCCGTGCAATGTGCCCAATTGATACATGATAACATTCGTGACCGATTTCCAGACAACAAAATTTTCGAAGCATTCTCTGTATTTGAACCGTCGAACTTTCCAAGTAGTGTTGACGACCTTCCTCGCTACGGTGAACAACAGTTAGAGTGTCTCGGAGACCATTATAGTATAGTCAACCAAGAAGAACTACAAATAGAATGGGGCATACTTAAGTATTTGATCTTCAACAACTACAAGGGACTTTCGTTTGCCGATCTGTTGACTGCAATTATTTCAAGAAAAGACCAGTTCCCAAATACAATTTCGCTAATGGAAATTTCACGTGTTTTGCCGGTTTCTAGTGTTGAATGTGAAAGGGGTTTTTCAAGGCAGAACATTATCAAGACAAAACTAAGGTGTAGTCTAGGTATTGACGCTTTAGATCAACTTATGAGGATAAGCTTAGTAGGTGTAGATGTTAAAGACTTTGACCCTGTTCCTGCTATCCGCAAATGGCAATCCGTTCGTAACCGCCATGTTTATCAGAACAATGCATTTAGCAAGCTCATGAATGTAAAATCTTAAATTAGACTAAATGAACTTCTAATCTTGTGCTGTGATCTGTGCTTCTTTTCAATGTGCTCATTGTAATATTTATTGCGTGTGTTTGTCAACATTGTGCTCTTCTGATATTTTATTGTTGTTATATGCTTACATAAAATATCATGTTGTTATTCATTAAATTATTTATCAACTGAGTATGTTTTTATTTATTCCTTATTTTCTAAATCAGGTTGGGAAATTGTACAAAGAAAAATGTTATCACTGTTCAGTAGATTTTACACGGTTTAAAACAATATCCTTCATTGGGCCTCCTCAATGTTATCTATAAATACCGCATCAGTTGTAAAAGTCACGTGGTCAGGTAATCAATACACAAAAAGAAAAGTATCACGTGTATTGATGATCAAGTTGTACTGCAATTAAAGCCAACATCAACAGTTTCAAATAAGATGGCCTTAATTTACAAAGTGTTAAGTACTCACAGAGAGAAGATAGATTAAACAGAAACAAAAACATGAGAACAGTCAGGTACTGAAGCTGATTGATGCAATGATGGTTACTGTATTACGATACACAGAAAAATGACACAATACCGAGGATAATATTTTATTTATTTTTAGAATGAAGAAAACAAAACAGTTATAAATAATTTTATTGCATATAACACTACTAATTATTTAGACACATATATCAATTTATGCATCCTCTCAGTTACATTTAAGTATCCAGCTGATCATTGACCGTCAAAAATATTTCTTTGAAAAATGTCCGGCTGACGTCAGGAAATTTTGGAAGCCCTGGTACACAGTTAGATTCAGCATATCAAAGAACCCCATAAAATCAATATTTGTTGAAATCATACAAAAATAATTTTGGACCATGATTTTGACTAACTTGAAAACTGGGCACAAAATCAATAATTTAATCACACAGTAAGATTCAGCATACCAAAGAAACCAGAGTTGAATTTTTGATGAAATCAAACAAAGTTTAATTTTGGACCCTTTGGACCTCAATGTGGCCAAATCCAAAATCTAAATACACTGTTAGATTCAGCATATCAAAGAATCCCAAGTATTCAAGACTTTGAATTAAACCACATTGAAATATGTCAAGAAATAGACAATTTATACAAAGTATTTGAAAAGTATGGTTTTTTGGCCCCTTTTTCCTAAATGGTTAGAGCCACTACCCCCAAAATCAATCCCAACCTTCCTTTTATGGTATGGAACCTTGTGGTACAATTTCATGTAGATCCATAGACTATACTCAAGTTCTAGTCCGGAAACATGAAAATCCTAGTTTTTTCGCCTCTAATTCTTAAATGATTTGGGATATAACCCCCAAAATCAATCCCAACCTTCCTTTTCTGGTATGGAACTTTGAAGTAAAATTTCATAGAGATCCATACATTTATACTCAAGTTATTGTCTGGAAATCAAATGTCTTAGGACGACAACGAAGACACTGACAATGTCATAACATTATACGACCACAAAAATTGGTTGCAACAGTATTACCTGATCTGTCCATAACAAATATAAATTCCCTTTTAACATTTCCACAATGATTCTTCAAATCTGGTATAAAATTCAACATCAAAACATCTTCTTTTAATAAACCATCTGAAAAACAGTTGCATAACTAGAAAACAATCCATAAAGTTGTAATTATTATTCTGCGTTAATATGGTTCAATGTGTGTGTGTTTGCAGTGCAATGAGGGTAATTCTAGGATTATGTTTAATAGAACAAAATAAAAGAATCCTTCATCTGAGATACATTTGTACTTGTTTTTGTAATTTGGCCAGAAACAAGACTACATATTTAACAAGCATTCTGTGAGTATTGCATGGCAATACATAGTCCCCTATTGGTTTAAATTTATTTGTATTGGGACAAAATTCTAACTTGATCTATAACTTGTCATGGTGTAAACTATATAACAAATATCAAGTCAATATCTTCAAGCATGACGAAAAAAAGTGTTGAAAACTGATTATTCAAGTGAATTTTCGAAGTCCAAGAACCATAACTCTGCACAAAATCATCAGACCGGAACAAAATTCGAGGTTGATCTGTAACTTGTCATAATAAAACTATATACCAATTTTCAAATCAATATCCTCAAGCATGAGGAAAAAAAGTACAGAAAACAGATTATTTGAGTGAATTTTCTAAGTCAACGGACCATAACTCTGCACAAAATCATCAGACCGGAACAAAATTCGAACTTGATCTGTAACTTGTCATTTTAAAACAATACACCAAATATCAAATCAAGATCGTCAAGCATGAAGAAAAAAAGTGTGGAAAACTGATTTGCCAGACTGACGGATGGACAGACAGACGGAGTGCAAACCTAGAGTCCCCTTCGACTTGTCGGTAGGGGACTAATAAATTTCCTTCGACTTGTCGGTAGGGGACTAATAAATTTATATACTTATAAAGTAAGTGCAAGAATTGTCAATCAAATTTGCTTTTTAAATTATTGTGTCTTGTATTTTTGAGCTTAATGCTACAACACTTTTTTTGTATTGTTTTTCTTGTACTTTGATTTTGTCATCTGTTAACTTTAACTAGAGTTTTATGGACATATTAAAGCTTAGTTCTTCTAGAACTTTTGTTTTGCCACTGATCAAAATCAAGGTGAATGATTGAGTAATAAATGTGGATAGTGTCCACATGTGGACACAGATGACGCCCCCGCTTGCATATCATATAGTTATAAAGGGAGTTTAAGGGACATATCTGAAGAACAGTAAAAGTGATGCTACCCAAATTTGAACTTGATCTGAGTTTTGTGGTAATAAGCATTGTGTGTAAGTCTCATAACATTTGGTTGAGGCTAACTTAAGTAGAGAACAGAAACTATAAATTCAGCAATTTTTCTATTTGTAAACGCGCATAACTCTAGAACGGTTGTGTATAAGTTTTATAACATTTGGTTGAGACAAACTGAAGTAAGAGAATGGAAACAAAAAATTCAGCCATTTTTATGTTTATAAAGGGACATAACTCAAGAATGGTAAAAGTGACGCCACCAAATTTCGTACTTAATCTGTATTATGTAATAATAAGCATTGTGTATAAGTTTCATAACATTTGGTTGCGGCAAACTAAAGTTAGAAAATGGAAACAAAAAATTTGTACTTGATCTTAGTTTTGTGGTAATGAATATTGTGTATAGGTTTCATAATGTTTAGTTGGGGCAAACTTAAGTTACAGAATGGAAACTAAAAATTTTGCAATCTTTCGATTTATAAAGGGACATAACTCAATAATGATTAAAGTGACACTACCCAAATTCAACTTGATCTGTGTTTTATCAGTGGAAGTCAAATTTAAACATTGCATTTTATAAAGCATTGATTGTAGTTGATTCAACTATAATCATGGACAAAGGAAGATAACTCCAATTTTAAAAATTACCTGATATAAAGAAGAAAATAATTTTTTTTCAATTTTTCCATTTATAAAGGAGCATACCTCTAGAACAGTAAAAGTGACGCCACCAAAATTCAAACTTGATCTGTGTTTTGTGGTAATAAGCATTGTGTATAAGTTTTATAACATTTGGTTGAGACAAACTAAAGTTAGAGAATGGAAACAAAAAATTCAGCCATTTTTGTGTTTATAAAGGGACATAACTCAAGAATGGTAAAAGTGTCGCCACCAAATTTCGTACTTAATCTGTATTATGTAATAATAAGCATTGTGTATAAGTTTCATAACATTTGGTTGAGGCAGACTAAAGTTAGAAAATGGAAACAAAAAATTTGTACTTGATCTTAGTTTTGTTATAATGAATATTGTGTATAGGTTTCATAATGTTTAGTTGGGGCAAACTTAAGTTACAGAATGGAAACTAAATATTTTGCAATCTTTCGATTTATAAAGGGACATAACTCAATAATGGTTAAAGTGACACTACCCAAATTCAACTTGATCTGTGTTTTATCAGTGGAAGTCAAAATTAAACATTGCATTTTATAAAGCATTGATTGTAGTTGATTCAACTATAAACATGGACAAAGGAAGATAACTCCAATTTTAAAAATTACCTGATATTTAGAAGAAAATAATTTTTTTCAATTTTTCCATTTATAAAGGAGCATAACTCTAGAACAGTAAAAGTGACACCACCAAAATTCAAACTTGATCTGTGTTTTGTGGTAATAAGCATTGTGTATAAGTTTCATAACATTTGGTTGAGGCAAACTAAAGTTACAGAACAGAAACGATAAATTCAGCAATTTTTCCATTTGTAAAGGGGCATAACTCTAGAACGGTAGAAGTGACGCCACCAAAATTCTAACTTGATCTGTGTTTTGTGGTAATAAACATTGTGTATAAGTTTCATAACATTTAGTTGAGGCAAACTAAAGTTAGAGAACGGAAACCAATTTTGGGAAGTACGTACGTACAGACGGACAAGGGTAAAATTTAATGCCCCCTCTGCTATGGCGGGGCATAATAAAAAAAACTATTTTAAGCCAATTGCAAACGTGCTGGGCTAAAAAAATAACAATTTACCACCGCAAAGTACACCCATTAAATGTGAAAGACAGGGTTATTGTTTCTACTTTTTTGCCAGGACTGAGGTGGCTCCACTTTCGATATTGAAATGGACGAAAAATTTTCATACAAGCTACGAAACAAGAATTTTCCAAATTGTTTGTGGTCATCTTTTTTACTTGCCACTCAACGTCTTACTAGTTTGGACGGGTCCATTTTATATCTAAGAATAAAACAGCTTATCCCAAAGTGGTTCAAAATAAAATCTCACTGAAGTATGACAGCAAAGGAAAACAAACTTATTGGAAAACCGCTATTAACATAGGGTATTCTTTCCATAACTTTTGTTTTAATATAATACACTAATTCACATAATCTGAGGTAAATGTTACTTCACAGATGCTTTTATTTATATTTCAGGAATAATGAATTTGGTAGAGTACGCGGGAATAAAAAAAGCATGAAATCCCAATTCCCACCCGACCCCTAAATATTAAAAAAATTGGGTCTTAAAATCTGTACCAACAAATCATAACAATCCTCACCTAATAAGCAGCAAAGCATTTGCAATTTTTCACTTGAAATTGAGCTTTCTCGAAAATCTGTCAACATAATTTGGATTTAAAATGTGCTGTAAAAATTTCTGTTTTTATGATATGAAAATATTAAGGCGTCATTGAAATCATTGAGGGTAAATCGTCAAAATCCGACTTGACCAATATTTTTTGGTCCGAGACATTGTATTCAAATTGCAAACATTTGGTCAAGCTGTACTTTAATTATCAACAGGAAACCATAACTGTGAAGGATGGGGGGACAAGTGGTTCACAATATTCCACCTCTTTAAGACAGGGTATAAAAAATCTGACAGAAATAGGTCTAATAACCATCTGAAGGAAGTTTTTTGATAGACTTTAATACTTTTTGATTTTCCTGTGGCCTAACATGACCTTATAATACCTTCTCTTTCAGTAAAACATTGTTCAGAGATGATGGTTAGAAGGCCTTTAAACTCTTATTTCCTTAGCACAATAGAATGCTGTCTACAATTTAAAACTTGGGAGTTATTGACAAAATATTGAGCTTCACTAACACAGGATACTGAAACAGGTTAGAAAACAGGTATATTACACTATGTATTTTGCTTGATGCAGTAAAAAGATGGAATATTGATATCAATCTATGAGTTATATTGATGTGTATTTTTTCAGTTCCTTACAGCTTTAAACTTTACATTTGTGCGTAACATTCACATTCCATAATAGGACTCTGAATAAAGATCATGATTAAACTGATTTCATTTACAATTTAATTATTTTTTCCATAAAATAACATAAATTCCAAGGTTCTGATTATTTTCTTACCTTTACTCCGATCACCAACTTCCAATATTGCTTCTGGTTTAGAAACATCATCGTAAGACACAGAAAATTCCAAATCTCTGTATTGATGATGTATGTCCTTTAACTTTATCTGAAATATTTAAAAAAAGCATTTTAACCGAGTTGTTTATCAATTAAGCATCATCATTAGTCAATGATTGACTAAGTAATTTAGGTGATTTCTCCACTAAAATGATATTGGATTTAACATTGCATGTCTGATTAGCCATATTCTCTACTTAAAAGACATTGGATTTAACATTGCATGTCTGGTCAGCCATATTCTCTACTTAAAAGACATTGGATTTAACAGTTCATGTCTGGTCAGCCATATTCTCTACTAAAAAGACATTAGATTTAACATTGCATGTCTGGTCAGCCATATTCTCTACTATAAAAACATTGGATTTACAATTCCATGTCTGGTCAGCCATATTCTCTACTATAAAGACGTTGGATTTAACAGTGCATGTCTGATCTGCAGACTTCTCTACATACAAAAGACTTGGGAATTAACATCGCATGTTTGATCAGCCATCAGATGTCCACTTAGCACTGGTCCATGTGGTAGAAAGAAAACTTACGAAAGAGACATATTTTCATCAAACTCAAATGCATACCAGAAGTCACAACATAAACAAACCTGTCTGAAAAAAAATAAAATCTTAAGACTATCTTAATGCTAACTGAAAAAAAGTCCATTTATCAGCAAAATACTATTTTTTTTTAAATTTTGCTCTGGATACCTTCTTAATCGTGAAGAAGCTGCTGTCCATGTTTCCCAAAATTCCATGAAGGTTGTACAAAGTTATTGATGTCTAAAACATTGATAACCATGCAGTCTCACTTAACCTAAATGTTCACACCACTGATGGAATGTAGGATTTATATGTCTTGCTCAACAACTTCGGTCAAAAGTAGGGATGTCAACGAGTACTCGAATACGCGAACACGCTCGGTAGTACCGAGTATCGATTACCAAAATGATACTCGACTAATCGGTTTCTTGTTAGAATGTTGTTGCTATCTTACGTTTATAAACAAAAAAAAATATTTAAAAATTTAAAATACCATTTGAATGTTTGCATTCAAACTATCATTTAAAATTCCTCCAAACAGATGTACATGTAAGATATATGAACACGAGCATTTTTCCAAGGCTTACACTTTTAGCTAATCTTAGTCACTCCCCCACCTCTGTACCGTCAGAGCATAAATTTCATACCAGTACGGTTAATTATCTAACACATTTGGGAAATCGCTATGACCCAGAAAAAGTTGACAAGATGATATTTTTAAATAAGAACAAATTCGTTGCACCATGTGTCGACCCTCAGAAAATAATTAATGGTATCAGTAAGTTCTAATCATTCCCCTTTGTTGATCATTTAATGTGTTTTTCTATAGTTCCCAAATACTGTTGTTTGAGTAATAATTTTTCTATAGATATTAACTAATTAATTACTTGATTAGATTATTATTAATTTACATAATACATGTAGTACATGAGCTATTAAATATGGTATAAAATTCCTTGGACTATATTATTTAGTCCTAGGTAATAATTTTGAGGGTTTTACAACCATAAGACAACAAACCCCAATATATGTACATTAAAGTATATAATTTTGTGTTTCCATTTTGTAAATGTTTTACCGAGCGAGTACTCGAGTATCGCTCGGTAAACCCAACGAGTAATCGATTAGTAAATCTTCACCGAGTTGACATCCCTAGTCAAAAGCAAAACAAAAAGCAACATCCCGCAAATCTATGAATACCTCTGCTGAATGTCGATCATCAAATATCTTTAACTGTAAATCATCTCTATAAGTGTTAACAGATTTGATCTTGTGATGACCCTTTACTGATGCAGTGAATTCTTTCTTGACTGGTTTTTCTGAGTTCTCTGTAGATCCAGCTAAACGAAAATAGTAAAAGCTATTTGTTAAATTCATAATTTAAAAGTTGTTGAAGTTAATTCCAACTAAAAAAAAAATACAGAAGCACAATGGTTGCACATACTATTTTCAATCTTCATGGATGTGTAGCTGAAGAAACATGATTTATGTGTCAAGTACAATCAAGATTGTAAAGTCTAGTGACAATCTACATGTATATATATCAAATGGTGGTGGGAAATAAACAAATTTGTCCAAATTTCAGTCTTTTAAATGCTACTGAAAGCTTGACATATGACCCAGTGCCTTATATGGGTGATTTTTTTTATTTCATTGAGAACTACCTTATCAATTTTGGTAAAAGTAAGATGATTGTGATATATTGGTTCATAAGATAACATCCAGAAACAACAAGCATTCTGAAAGTATTGCATGGCAATACATAGTCACCTACCGGGTAAAAATTCATTATACTGGAACAAAATGCTAACTTGTTCTATAACTTGTCATGGAGTAAACAAAAAGAAAATATCAAGTCAATATCTTCAAGCATGACTAAAAACAGTGTGGAAAACTGATTATATGAGTGAATTTTTCAAGTCCAAGGACCATAACTCTGCACAAAATTATCAGACCGAAACAAAAATTTGAACTTGATCTGTAACTTGTCATGATAAAACTATATACCAATTATCAATCAATATCTTCACGAGTGATGAAAAAAAGTGTGGAAAACACTTTAATATTAGATATGATTAATAGTTATCTAAAATTAGATATGATGTAATACAGTGTATATCTATTTTCAAATTATAATCAAATATAATTACTAGTTTCCCTTTCCTTTTTCCTTTCAATTGTCACAAACTAATATAGATTTGTAACTTATTTATAAAATGTCAACAATTTTTATCTACACAATGTAATGTGATGAAATATATACATTAATAAAAATTATAGAAAAACTAATCGAAGAATTCAAATAGAGAAAAATATTCATCGAGTGACCGAACAACACATTAATTCACGAATGCACGTAGCGCACGAGTTAATTATCAGTGTTGTTCGGTCACGAGTTGAATATTTTTCGATATTTGAATTCTTTGATTAGTTATTCTTTTTATTACATTGGCAAATGGCTTTTTTATGAAATTAAAGTAGAAAACGTAAGGAACTATATCTTTTTCTACACATTCACAATTTGTTTTGATCCGAAGTTATCGACATCTTGACAACGCCTATTGTTGTATGACGTCAGAGGAGTGAAATAACCACGTTTATTTCACATGTGAAATTATCGGTTTTTATTTCACTGGGAAATCAATGTAATTAATTGCGACCAATGTAATAATAGATTATTATCTAATTAAAGGATTTCACTTCATAATTTTTTTTTATATATATATATAGCATTCAGAAAATTAGTTTATACAAAATAACAAACAAACCTGCAAAGAAAAAATCTTCAAATAATTTATCAAAGAATGTCTTTTAAAAAATGAGTTATCTCCCTTTGTACAGAAATATGGTTTAACATAGTACTCTATCATTAGAAATGGTCCAGAGTTATGGTCCATAACTCTGGACTATATCATCAGACCAGGAACAAATTTCGAACTTGATCTATAACTTGTCATTATAAAATTATATACCAAATATCAAATCAATATCTTCAAGAACGAAGAAAAAAAGTGTGGAAAACTGATTTGCCAGACTGACGGACGGACAGACGGACGGAGTGCAAACCTAAAGTCCCCTTCGACTTCGTCGGTAGGGGACTAACAAGCATTCTGGGAGTATTGCCTTGCAATACATAGTCCCCTACTGGTTAAAAATTCATTGTACTGGAACAAAATGCTAACTTGATCTATAACTTGTCATGGTGCAAACTATATAACAAATATCAAGTCAATATCTTCAAGCATGACGAAAAAAAATGTGGAAAATTGATTATTTGAGTGAATTTTCTAAGTCCAAGGACCATAACTCTGCACAAAATCATCAGACTGGAACAAAATTCGTTTTTGATCTGTAACTTGTCATGATAAAACTATATACCAATTATCAAATCAAGATCTTCAAGCATGACGAAAAAAAGTGAGGAAAACTGATTATTTGAGTGAATTTTCTAAGTCCAGGCACCATTACTCTGCACAAAATCATTAGACTGGAATAACAATCGAACTTGATCTGTAACTTGTCATGATAAAACTATTTACCAATCATCAAATCAATATCTTCAACCATGACAAAAAAAAGTGTGGAAAACTGATTATTTGAGTGAATTTTCTAAGTTCAAGGACCTTAACTCTGCACAAAATCGTCAGACCCAAATAATATTCGAACTTGATCTGTAACTTATCATGATTAAACAATACACCCAATATCAAATCAATATCTTCAAGCACGAAGAAAAAAAGTGTGGAAAACTGATTTGCCGACTGATGGATGGACAGACAGACGGACAGAAGGACGGAGTGCAAACCTGAAGTCCCCTTCAACTTCGTCAGTAGGGGACTAAAAAAATTGATAAAAATTAGTCTATCAATAGCTGCTTTGATCTTAAACTTGACCTATTGACCCCAAACTATTGAACCAAGTTTGGCAAAAGTTGGACATAAATGATTCAAAAGATAACATCTAGAAGTCAAACTTTTTCTCATGATTTCAGACTATTAATAGCTGCGGTGAAATTGATCTTAGACCGATTGACCCAAAAATCAATATGGGTCTTCCTGTTTCCATTGGGCATTATCAAGCCAAATTTGGTAATGATATTATCAATGGCTTATGAGATTTTGTCTGGAAATGGAAATGTTGATGCTAAGACACCTGGACATCCAGACAGCATTCATCATATTATAAGACTGAAAGTTTCAAATAACATTCATTCTAGGACCGATTTGACCATTAATAAAACTTTGTCCTTTGTACTTGGTGTTTGTTTCTGTCAGTCAATTCAATAAGGTTTTTACTTTTGTATTAACTATGATGTCATTGCAGTAAGTCTGGAAAAAGAGATATCCATTAGAGAAAGCAGGAGTTGGACTTCAATTTGAGAAAGGAAAAAAAACTTCCATTATAGGGGATCAGATTTTAAAAAAAATAAATGTGGATAGTGTCCACATGTGGACACAGATGATGCCCCCGCTTGCATATCATATAGTTATAAAGGGACATAACTGAAGAACGGTAAAAGTGACGCTACCCAAACTTGAATTTGATCTGAGTTTTGTGGTAATAAGCATTGTGTGTAAGTCTCATAACATTTGGTTGAGGCTAACTTAAGTAGAGAACAGAAACTAATAAAATGCTCCGCAGGGCGCAGCTTGATACGACCGCAGAGGTCGAACCCTGAACAGTTGGGGCAAGTATGGACACAACATTCAAGCTTGATACAGCTTTGCATTTGGATTGTGATTAAATATTTGACACAGCATAGGTTTCTGACACAGAATGAATGTGGTCTAAGAACTTAAAAATTTAAAATTGGACATTCACCTATTATGGTCCAATATCCAAAATCTAAATACATGGTTAGATTCAGCATATCAAAGAATCCCAAGAATTCAATTTTTGATGAAATCAAACAAAGTTTAATTTTGGACCCTTTTGACCTCAATGTGGACAAAGTTGATAATGGGGCCCAAAAATCAAAAATCTAAATACATGGTTAGATTCAGCATATCAATGAACCCCATATATTCAATTTTTGTTGAAATCAAACAAAGTTTAATTTTGGACCCCGATTTGGACCAACTTGAAAACTGGGCCCATAATCAAAAATCTAAATACATGTTTAGATTCAGCATATCAAAGAACCCTAAGAATTCAATTTTTGTTAAAATCAAACTAAGTTTAATTTTGGACCCTTTGGACCTTAATGTAGACCAATTTGAAAACGGAACCAAAAATTAAGACTCTAAATACATGGTTAGATTCGGCATATCAAAGAACCCCAATTATTCAATTTTTGATGAAATCAAACAAAGTTTATTTTGGACCCTTTGGACCTCAATGTGGACCAATTTAAAAACGGGGCCCAAAATCCAAAAACTAAATACACGGTTAGATTCAGCATATTAAAGAACCCCAAGAATTCAAGAATAAAACCCCATTGAAATTGGTCAAGAAATAAGCAATTTATACGAAGTATCTTCTTTTGCACAATACTGTGCAATTAAATGTTTCTTGCTATTGCGCAATACTGTACAATTGACAATTTCTTGCTATTGCGCAATAATGTGCTATTGGATATTTCTTGCTATTGCGCAATACTGTGCAATTGAAGATTTCTTGCTATTGCGCAATACTGTGCAATTGAAGATTTCTTGCTATTGTGCAATACTGTGCAATTGAAAATTTCTTGCTATTGCACAATACTTATTATATAATAATTTACACTTCCTGTTTGGTGTGTTTCTCCTACCATATCATTATTATTTGCTTTTAAATATAAATCAGAAATAACCAACTTAAAATGGAAAATTTTAAAAGAAAAAAAAGGAAAAAAAAAAAATCCCCCCCCAAATTTTTTGAACCCCCTTATGATTCATCACCCCCAAACTCAATCCCAGCCTTCCCTTTGTGGTATGGTACCTTGCAGTACAATTTCAGAGAGATCCATACACTTGAACACAAGTTATTGTCTGGAAACTAGAAAAATGTGTTTTTTGACCCCTTTTTGGCCCCAAATTCCAAAACGTTTAGGGCAATTACCCCCAAACTCAAACCCAGCTTTCCCTTTGTGATATGGAACCTTGTAGTACAATTTCAGAAAGATCCATACACTTACACACAAGTTATTGTCCTGAAACTAGAAAAATGCTTGTTTTTTGCCCCTTTTTGGCCCCTAATTCCTAAAATATTGAGGCAATTACCCCCATCATCAATCCCAGCCTTCCCTTTGTGGTATGGTACCTTGCAGTACAATTTCAGAGAGATCCATACATTTGAACACAAGTTATTGTCTGGAAACTAGAAAAATGCTTAGTTTTGGCCCCTTTTTGGCCCCCAATTCCTAAACGTTTCGACAATTACCCACAAACTCAATTTCAGCTTTCCCTTTGTGATATGGAACCTTGTAGTACAATTTCAGAAAGATCCATACACTTACACACAAGTTATTGTCCTGAAACTAGAAAAATGCTTGTTTTTTGTCCCTTTTTGGCCCCTAATTCCTAAAATATTGAGGCAATTACCCCCATCATCAATCCCAGCCTTCCCTTTGTGGTATGGTACCTTGCAGTACAATTTCAGAGAGATCCATACATTTGAACACAAGTTATTGTCTGGAAACTAGAAAAATGCTTAGTTTTGGCCCCTTTTTGGCCCCCAATTCCTAAACGTTTCGACAATTACCCCCAAACTCAATTCCAGCTTTCCCTTTGTGATATGGAACCTTGTAGTACAATTTCAGAAAGATCCATACACTTACACACAAGTTATTGTCATGAAACTAGAAAAATGCTTGTTTTTTGGCCCTTTTTTGGCCCCTAATTCCTAAAATTTTGAGGCAATTACCCCCAAAATCAATCCCAGCATTCCTTTTGTGATATGGAACCTTGTGGTACAATGTCAGAGAGATCCATACACTAACACACAAGTTATGTCTGGAAGTTACAAAAATGCTTATTTTTGGCCCCTTTTTGGCCCCTAATTCCTTTACTGTTGGTACCATAACCCCCAAAATCAATCCCAACCTTCCTTTTGTGGTATTGAACCTTGTGGTAAAATTTCATAGAGATCCATTCACTTAAACTAAAGTTAGAGTGCGAAAACCAATGCGTCTTCAGACGACGCCGGACGACGCCAGACGACGACGACGACGACGCCTAACGTCATACCAATATACGACCACAAAAATTTTTTTGCGGTCGTATAAAAATTCAGCAATTTTTCTATTTGTCAACACGCATAACTCTAGAACGGTTGTGTATATATGTTTTTCTAACATTTGGTTGAGACAAACTCAAGTTAGAAAACGGAAACAAAAAATTTGTACTTGATCTTAGTTTTGTGGTAATGAATATTGTGTATAGGTTTCATAATGTTTGGTTGGGGCAAACTTAAGTTACAGAATGGAAACTACAAATTTTGCAATTTTTCAATTTATAAAGGGCACAACTCCATTATGGTTAAAGTGACACTACCCAAATTCAACTTGATCTGTGTTTTAGCAGTGGAAGTCAAAATAAATAAACAGCTGCGCCATGAGCGCATGATACGCCCGTCGTCTTGTGTGTGAATTTTTATGCAATAAGCATAAAAAGTTTCTGACATACGGCGTGACATGCGAAAACCCCCTTTTTTTTTTTACAAAAAACTCAATATCTATAAAATAAAATTTTGAATCAAAACCAAAAAGTATACAGATCTTTAGATTAATATAACTAAGAAGTGTGTAAAATTTTAAGCAATAATCATAAATCGTTTTTGAGATACGGCGCGACATGTGAAAACACCCCTTTTAAAAAAAAAAAATCAATATCTCAAAAATAAAATTTTGAATCAAAACCAAAAAGTATACAGATCTTTAGATTAATATAACTAAGAAGTGAGTAAAACTTTAAGCAATAATCATAAATCATTTTTGAGATATGGCACGACATGTGAAAAACCCCTCCCCCTTTTTTTAGAAAATACTCAATAACTCAAAAATAAAATTTTGAATCATCACCAAAAAGTATACAGATCTTGAGGTTAATATAACTAAGAAGTGTGTAAAGTTTTAAGCAATAATCATAAACTGTTTTTGAGATACGGCACGACATGTGAAAAACCCCTCCCCCTTTTTAACAAAATACTCAATAACTCAAAAATAAAATTTTGAATCATCACCAAAAAGTATACAGATCTTAAGATTAATAAAACTAAGAAGTGTGTAAAGTTTTAAGCAATAATCATAAATTGTTTTTGAGATACGGCGCGACATGTGAAAAAAAACACACACCTGTTTTAGTTACTAAGTCCCGTAACTCAAAAAGTTTTAATCTTATTTTCACCAAAAAGTATACAGATCGTTTGACCATCATAAGAAACAACTATGTTAAGTTTCATGAAATTTGGATAAGTCATTCTCAAGTTACGGTGCGACATGTTTACGCCGGACAGACAGACGGACAGACAGACGGACGGACGCGGGACATTTGTACAACATAATACGTCCCGTCAAAAATTTGACGGGCGTATAAAAATTGCATTGTATAAAGCATTGATTGTAGTTGATTCAACTATAATCATGGACAAAGGAAGATAACTCCAATTTTAAAATTACTTGATATTTAGAAGAAAATAAAAATTTTGCAATTTTTCCATTTATAAAGGGGCATAACTCTAGAACAGTTAAAGGGACGCCACCAAAATTCATATTTGATCTGTGTTTTGTGGTAATAAGCATTGTGTATAAGTTTCATAACATTTGGTTGAGGCAAACTTAAGTTAGAGAACGGAAACTAAATATTTTGCAATTTTTCCATTTATAAAGGGCATAACTCTAGAACGGTTGAAGTGACGCCACCAAAATTCAAACTTGATCTGTGTTTTGTGGTAATAAGCATTGTGTATAAGTTTCATAACATTTGGTTGAGGCAAACTCAAGTTAGAGAACGGAATCCAATTTTGGTACGTACGTACGTACAGACAAGGGTAAAACTTAATGCCCCCACCGCTACGGCGGGGGCATTTATATTACGTCAGATTGGACTGATATTAGGAATAATTGATAATTTGTAACCAGAAGTTTATTTGAGTCCAACACATGTTATAACAATCTTTAATAAATAAACATAATTTATAACTTTTAAATACTGGGTTACTGAGTGTTAACATAAGTTGATACTGATCTTTTCAGACAAATACTCATTACGGTACCATTGGTATGTGTCTTTAAACTAATCATTTTTGTTAATGATCAGAGAACAAAACTTTACAAGAATACAATAATATTATAACACGGAAATTGCAGACCTGTGAAATTTCCTTTTGTTCCCTTATGCCTACAAGATATTACAATAAACATGATAAATGATATTTTGTCAACCATTTTTTATAAATGATTTGGAGTTATATAGACTGACCTGATGAATATCTAGCATTCAAAACATATGGCAAAACAAACTTCAGACCCCCATCTGGTTCAACAGTTAACTCTACAACATATGCCATGGTCAATACTGCAGTTTCACCTGCATCCAAGTTACCAAGCTTACACACAAAAATATCTCCAGCATATTTACTCTCTGATAGATAAAACCCAGTCTGACCAGTAGATGTAGCTTCTTCAAAGGTTATCTTAGCCTAAAAAAAACAAATATTATAATATGTAATGCCTAAATTATACGTAACTTAATTATTTAATAAGGTGATAAGAATTTAAATTATACAATGACTTTCTTAGTTCTGAGTTTTCTGCTGCATTGTTTGTTACATTAAAATAATATATGCAATGAAATAGGTTTTTTCTAGTTTCAGCCGCAGAATAGTATAAAATATCAAAACTCATTACTTATGAACAATTCTCACTTGAACTGAAGGTTTGGAACCAATGTGTGCTCAGTCAGGAAGCACATATTAGAAAGTAGTTCACATTTCACACAAAATAGTTCCTACACATAGATGAACCTATCAAAATTTGTAAAATATTTTGATAATTTTGTAAAAAATTTGTAAGGGTTCCGCGGAACCCAGTGTCTCGCCTACTTTTGCTGTTATTCGCAGGCTCAACAAAAATGGGGAAAAAATTATTAAAAATTTTCCTCTAGATACTATCTTTTGATTGTAAGAAGTTCTGTTCAAGTTTGGTAAAAATCCAAGAAGGTTTATGAATCTAATAAACGTTTTAAAAACTTTAACTGCAGACTGTACGTAATGTTAACTGAAATAAAACTAAGTCCATTAATAAGTTATATACGGAAAAACAGGAAATAAATTTTTACAAAATTTTCTTCTAGATACTAGCTTTTGACCATAAACAAGCTTCTGTCCAAGTTTGGTACAAATCCAGAATAGTTTAAGAAAGTTATTAAAATTTGATAAACTTTAACCACAGAGTGAATGTAATGTTAACTGGCAGAAAAACTTAAGTCCATGTATGAGTAAAATACAGATAAACAGGATTTTTTTATATTACAAAATTTACTTCTGGATACTATCTTATGATCATAAACAAGCTTCTGTCCAAGTTTGGTTGAACTGCAGATTAGTTTAAGAAAGTTATTAAAATTTGAAAAACTTTAACCACAGAGTGAATATTTGTGGATGCCGCCGCCGCCGACAGAATGTAGGATCGCTATGTCTCGTTTTTGCGACAAAAGTCGCAGGCTCCACAAAAATGAAAGGTTTTGGACCTATGGATCACTATTGAATCCTCGTTGAATGTTCAGCAGTAACTGTTTTTGTGCTTCCAGACTTCCAGGAACTAGTACACTCTTATTCAATTAAAGGTCCAAAAATGGTACATGTATGTATAATTTTTCAGCACAAGCCAGACGAAGGTAATGTTTGGATATGAAATGACTGTCACTTTATATAAACTTAAGACAAAATGGCAATGAATGCTGTAATTTTTTTATTGTGATTGAATTTAGTCTGTAGGTTGCACTTTGTAAATACATCTGTTTCACAAACCATGCCTCTTTTGGCGAGATATATAATATTCATAGATATTTTGTTTTGTTAACATTCTGGTTCCCAGATATGATCTCTATGTTTCATCTCATAGAGACATAACTTGGGAATGTTACCAGTATAAATACACATAGATAGCAGCGAAATTGAATTCTGAGGAGGACCAAAAGTGAAGGCAGGGGTAGTACAGAATTTTAGTGTAAGTTTCAACTGTTAGAAGTTTGGGGCATATAAATGTTGAAAATATGCCGCACAGCCCTATATTTTGACCTTTGAGAAAAAATTGTAGCACATATGAACTTTCCATTCTAGAACATAAATTTTTACGAAACTTCATAGTAAGAGTGGCACAGTTTTAGCCGTAAAAGGAGTTCCTATGGGAAATTGCATTGTCTATATTTACAGAAGTGCAACCTGTATGGACTAATGCTTGTCTCACAGGGCACTCTTCCTATATAAAGGTATACACAGACGTGTTGCTGGTGTGGGCCACATTTTTTGAATGTCAAATATATCAATGGGGCGTAATTTTGTGGAGATAATATAGATATATGTAGAAATTAATATGTCAATGGGTCATAAATAGCAATCTTCTGTTAAGATGTTTGTAAAACTGTGTACTGATCTTGTTGTCTAATAATATGAATGATCCCATGTGGTTTACATCTAAGGATTCCATAGATTGTTTTTCTGATAGCTGGGAAAATATATCAATATGTTATATTTTTCCTATGAAATGTATGATTGATTGATTGTGATTGCTTACTGCTTACGCAGCATCAGCACAAAAAGGCTATATTGCGGCGATATGAAATATATGAATGGTAGGGATTTTTGCAAATAAAAATATACGATTTTAAACCCCAGCCAGACATCTGTACCCAAATTTGAATGTTGAGACCCCCCCCCCGTGGTTTGTCTCAGTGTTCTTTTTTTTCCTTAGACCATGCTGTTGTCTGTCTTTGTTCAACTTATGATTGTTTTTCCATCAAAAACCTAATTTCATCAATAGATGGAATTTAATTGTGGTCATGAAATATTATCATGACACTGTCATTCATACTTTAATATATTAGAATTCTTCTTTGAACCCTTTTGACATCATCCGCTTCAATAAACATTCACATTTTTGGGGGAAAATATATGACTTTTTAATCTTACCTGTTGTTTTTCCTGACATTCTGCTACAATATGTCTGCCATTAATATCTGCTTCAAACTTATACACAGCTGACATGTCGTCAATAGGAAAGACATAACGTGTCTCAATAGATTCTGTGTAGTTGTTAACATAGGTCAAGTTAGATTCAACATTGGCAATGAAGCCTTGGATTGTCACATGTGTTTTTGATTCTGTTAACGACACTGGAAAGACAAACTAAATCTACAATCTGATGAATCAATTTGTCAGTACTTAACCTTTATAATTCAATATTCAATATCAGTAGAGAGATATAGTAAAAAAATGGAGAATGTGTCCATGGACACAGATGATGCCCCTGCTTGCATATAACGTTATAAAGGGACATAACTCAAGAACGGTAAAATTGACGCTACCCAAATTCATACTTGATCTGAATTTTGTGGTAATAAGCATTGTGTATAAGTTACATAACATTTGGTTGAGGCAAACTTAAGTTTGAGAACAGAAACTAAAAATTCAGCAATGTTTCCATATGTAAAGGGGCATAACTCTAGAACAGTAAAAGTGACGCCACCAAAATGCAAACTTGATCTGTATTTTGTGGTAATAGGCATTGTGAATAAGTTTCACAACATTTGGTTGAGGCAAACTAAAGTAAGAGAACGGAAACCAATTTGTGGGACGTACGGACGGACGGACACGCAGACGGACAAGGGTTAAACTTAATGCCCCCTCTGCTCCGGCCTGGGCATAAAAACTGACTTTACAAATTTAACCAGAAAAAGCATTTTACTTAATAAATTAAGTTGAACAGAGAGATCTACAGAGCATTTACATTGCAATACAGTTTTAAATTAAAATAGTTAACAGAGCTCCAGATAAGAATTTACACATTGGGGTTTTCACCCACCAGCATCATCAATTCTAATTCACCCCTAAGGCAAAGGCCAAATTGAATTTTTACAACCAAAATCTTGGATATTTTCTTTGAACGGGACAGTGTTCAACCCACAACCTCTCCGGCTAAGGCTCACGCACTCCTTAAGAGAATGTTTACGTTCTGCCATGTTTGTTATTGAAAATGTAATAGGCCCCTTTATACTTTTCATATCTAATAATTTACCAAATCCATATTAATATGGAAATTTAATTTAAAATCCAATATTAACTGATAAATATCAAAATCAAATGTTTCATTACAAATTACTCGTTTCTTTTCATAGCATTGCATAACATAAACTGGAATCCGCTTGTATTTACCAAAATGAAAAAAGTATATAAATCAGCTGGGAACCAGCTTATGCATTACAATGTATAAACTACAAAACGTAATCAGTTATTCAATCTGTGTTGGTGTTTCATACTGAGGCATGCATTTTGTTTTAGCTGAAGATCATTCAAATATTAATTTTATTAATATATTTAATAGTATTTAACTAAAGAATGGAACTGTTTTAGCTTCAAAGTTGTATGCTAGTAGTAACTATGAAGTATGGATTTTCCGCACTCTCACCATAATTATTTTCAATATATACGTGCTAAACAAACTTTCGGTTAAAATGAAATACAGCTTCCCCAATTGTTTATTCATGATTTTGACTTATTTTCACACTCGAGGAGTGTTCTGGAATCATTTACAAGCATTTTCAACTTCTACTTTATGATGGAAAATGATAATACCGCAAACGATCACACATGTCTTGAAATTACCAGAGTTTTATAAAGATGTATTCAAGCAGTTACAAAAATTTTTTTTTTCTGAATTCTCATGGACAATGTACCAGTGTGGACTTTACAAGGCTGATTACAGTATTAATATATTTCTTGTTTTTAGTAATAAAACTTTTAGTCAAAACGTCTTTTGTAAATGTTACCTTATTGACCAGAGTAAAATATGAGAGGTGACATTTAAATGGAGGTTTAAAAAGCATAGGTTCATGTATTACTACAAAGGGAAAAGTGAAGGGTGACAAAACAGGACAAATTTTTGCTTAATACTTCCTGGGGCCTGAATTGGAGATTAAAAGTCTAATTTGGAAGGCCACAACCTAGGAAATTAGGAGAGGATTGTGGTTACAACAATTGGAACATCTGACATCATCTGTGAAATAGATTTTCCTCTCAACAAACTTGTGATGGCGTCCTTAAAACTTTTTCTTCAACTTCACCACTTAGAACTCTTGGTTTAATAGCTTCCTTGTATTTAAACAGCAACCCTAAATTATGCCTCTGCAATATGAACTCCATATTTTTAACCAAAGTTCAAAGGAAATACAAACCAGGTTTTTGTCCTGACAGCAGACCATACTTCTTTCCATTTTCCATTTTGATGCGACTGGCCATACTAAAATCTAATATACTGATGAACTGTATGTGAGGTCAGGAAAAATTCTGTATCCTAAAAAAAATTAGTTAATTTGATATAGCCGTTTTACACAATATCAATTAAGAAAAGATAAAAAAAATAAAAGGGGAATGTGTCCATGGGACACAGATGATGCCCCCCCTTGCATATCATATAAAGTTATAAAGGGACATAACTGAAGAACAGTAAAAGTGACACTACCCAAATTTGTAATTGGTCTGTATTTTGTGGTAATAAGCATTGTGTATAAGTTTCATAACATTTGGTTGAGGCTAACTTAAATAAGGGATCGGAAACGAAAAATTCAGCAATTTTTCCATTTGTAAAGGGGCATTACTCTAGAACAGTTAAAGTGATACCACCAAAATTCAATCTTGATCTATGTTTTGTGGTAATAAGCATTGTGTATAAGTTTCATATAATTTGGTTGTGTCAAACTAAAGTTAGAGAACGGAAACCAACTTTGGGACGTACGGACGGATGGATGCACGTACGTACGGACGGACAAGGGTAAAACTTAATGCCCCCTCCGCTACGGAGGGGGCATAAAAAGCTTATGAACATGTTCAAAAGATCTATGGATTAAAAAAATATTTTTATCCATATTTCACATGTTTCAGAAAAGAAAAGAGACGTCTTCTGAAGTTGAAGTAGAAGAATCATCATAATAATGGTAGTCTACAATAATGCTTAATATGAGTTGTTTTACACTTACAGAAGTAGATGAAAAGTTATATCATGTAAATGGTAAAAAAACATCAAGATGTAATAAAAAAAACCTGAAAATGTTGGCAAACTTTTTGCGAAGTTGAAAAAATTTGGACTAAAAGCAAAATTGTGGCTATATTAACGCATAAAACCCACATGTATTAACTTAATATAGTATAACAAATCAACAAGTTACATCCTCCGTTATCTTTTGAAAACACGTGCAGGGAGTGTCCCATTTTAAAAACAGTTTCTTCACCAAGGAACTGCACATGCACGATTTCAATACTTTTTAAATAATAAACATTTGAATTAAATAAAAGCAGAATGTGTCTGAGGACACGAATGCCCCCTATCAAGCTTTAAGTTTAAAAGGGCATAACTCTAGAAAGGTAAATGACTTACAAACCAAATTCGAACTCTGTCTGCGTAATGTGGTTCTTAGCATTTTGTATGAGTTTCAATAAAATTTGGATGAGGATAACTTTAAGTCATATGACATGTATGAAACAATTTCTAGAAATTTTGAGTTTGTCGAAAATTATTGAATCAATGCATCCATATATACTAAACTAAGTCTTGCATGCACGTTTTTTTATATTTATCAAACATCTATAATGTATTATTGACAAATAATATTTCTTTCAGTGGTTGTTGATTGCAAGCTAATTAATTTCGAGTTTGTTGCCGAAGTTTACCGGATCGTGACATTGATAAACAATAAAAAGCATGACAGATAAGTGAATTGAAAGAGCCATGACATTTGTTTTTATATTTCCCATGTGTTCCCATTTGTTCATTAAACTATTCCTTAACAGTTGTTAAAAGATTTGTTGTATTAAATTTGTTCTTTAAGCATCTGTTATTTCTATTTACCTTCAAAAGTGTGTTTACATTCTTTCATTACGGCTTTCCCCTCGCACTTGGGCAGTGCGGTGGGCGCAGTTAAAACGACAGGGCTGGTCGATAGGTCACTGCATACAGGAAGACATCGGCGAATTAGTGTCTGGGAAGCCAATAATTAAATATCGATACATTTATGACGATTTTGATCATATAAAGGATTTTCTTTTAAAAAAAAGTTCACATTCACCTCTTTTAGAGTAAAACTTAGCCATTCAAGTATATAAAACATGTTAAAACTTTTTTTTCAAATTTGAGGTTTCATATGACTTTAAGCTAGAGTGAGGAAACAAAAAAATGTGCCATTTTCTAAGTTATAAAAGGGCATAACTCTAGAAAGGCAAGTGACTCACTGCCCAAATTCGAACTATGTCTGCAAGTTTTTGTTTTTAGCATTGTGTATGAGTTTCATAAAATTTGCATGAGGCAAACTTAAGTTAGTGTGTGGAAACAAAAATGGAACTGAGGGAAGGAAGGTCAAGGAAAACACTTATTGCTCATGTAGCCGCATAAAAATATACGATTATCAAGCCTCGATGAATATATGACTTTATTCTCAAAGCATGTTTGGTTGATAATTGTCACCGATATATCCAAACTGTTATTTTACTTTGCAAGCTGAACCGTTTGAATATGATATAATATACGTATTTGATCAGGGTGACCCAGCATACGTCACTTCCATTATTTAGAATTAGAGGGTGTCAGTGGCTCGTTTTACTAAATTGTTCAGGTGTGTGAATGAAACAAAGTACTTTGGAAATATCTCTATAATTACAAGAAGAAATTATATTTTTTTTTGCATTTTTAAACAATTATTTTGAACTTTACTATTATTCAAACATGTTTTATGCGTTAATACCTCTTTAAAAGATCAAGACAGTAGACTCAAAAATGCCTGAAATGCAAAAGGTGTATCTGACTTACTCCTCAAGAATAGCTTATTTCTAAAAAAAAAAAAAAAAAAAAAGAATCGCCAGGGATTAAGGTGCTAATTGATTCATCAGGTCAACCTTTCAGTAGATGTTCTTTTAATCTATCAGGATGCATCTTGCAAGGCAAAAAATATTTACACCTACCCAAATCAGTTGTTCTGTAAACAGATTAAGCTGTCTTTATCTAAAAATATATAAGCATTATGTATAAGCTCTTACTATAATTTGTATATAAATAACATGAATTTAACGGTACTTGTATATAACTAATCTTCCAAGAAGCAGTTGTGTATATGATTATTATCTGTATGGGGTTCAAGGAAGATTTTTCTTGAGAACTTTAGCTTCAAGCTTAAGGCTATCAAATTGTTGCATTTGACATATAATTTTCCCTTTGCTTGCTTTTGGAGGGTTTTTTTTTTAAATACTTTTAAGTCCAGCACAGTGAGGATTAATACAAGATATCCCTGACAAACTTCGTAATGAATGACATAAATCAGTTAAGAAAGTGCTAAAGTATGGTACTGAATGCATATATCTGTTTAAATGCCTTTCAATACAAATACATGCCTTTTGTTTATCTGATGAGATAAGCCCTTACCAAATGATTTTTACAGTTTGTTCTGATGTAATCTGTTACACCGCTGTCAAAGATTAATGAGGTTTGAGCACTCACAAATATGTTTAACTCTGCCACATTCTTAAATGCTCCTGTCCCAAGTCAGGAGTCCTATATTCACATTGATTCAGTAGTTGTCGTTGGTTACTGTCCGACACATTTGTTTTCTGTTTATTATTTTCAGCATAAATTAGGCCGTTGGTTTTCTATTTTAAATTGTTTCACATTTGGTTATGCAGAGGCCTTTTATCACATTTATAGCTTACTAAACATATTGTATTTTAACTTTTACATACATGTTCAAAACATCAAAAGTAACAACTTACTTCCAGTACATGACATTGGTGTTAAGTTTCAACTTTTGTAGTCATATTGTTTGAATGTCTACAATGTATTGTGTATCAATTAACGTCTGAATGTCTACACTGTATTGTGTATCATTATTGTCTGAATGTTCCCAAACTCTCTCTGACTGACAAAATGTCCGACAAAAAATCATTCGGCCAGACAGAAATTTGTAGATTTTTTAGTTGAAAATATAGTAGAAAATGTCAAATTTCTTTTTCGGTCAGACAATCTCTACAACAGTTTGGCACAGACTGGTATTGTGTATCATTATTGTTTGAATGTCAACTATGTATTGTGTGTCATTATTGTTTGAATGTCTACAATGTATTGTGTGTCATTATTGTTTGAATGTCTACAATGTATTGTGTGTCATTATTGTTTGAATGTCTACAATGTAATATTGTGTGTCATTATTGTTTGAATGTCTACAATGTATTGTGTGTCATTATTGCTTGAATGTCTACAATGTATTGTGTGTTATTATTGTTTGAATGTCTACACTGTATTGTGTATCATTATTGTTTGAATTTTTTAATGTCTACACTGTATTGTGTATCATTATTGTTTGGATGTTTGAATGTCTACAAACAAAATGTGAGTAATGAATAATAGTGGGATATAAATGATTTTCATGAAGAAAATAATGTCTTCCAAGGAAGTATTTGTTGAAGGAAGGCATCACAGCAAAAACAAAATAGTCTTACAATCTTACAAGCTTCATTATTATTTGGATTAGAAATACCCATTTATCAGATACTTGCATCACTTACAGGTACGGATCCAAGGTAAGGTATTGAAAAGGGGTCCCTGGCAAGTCAACACTAGGAGTGGGACTTTTAAAGTCTATGCATTAACCATTCATGTATATGTAGCTCCATAAGGCCGTCTCGGCCCCCTCAATACTCCTCTGACTTGCACCAGTAGCCTTTTGCATCGATCAAGCTGACCTGTTACAACTATTCTTCTATGAAGTTATGTTCTTACAATATGCAGATCATAAAACAATTTTCTGCCAATTCTTTTTAACTCTACTAGAGTTTCCCGCACTATCACATTTATGACATTTCCATGTTCAGTGGAAAGTGACATAAAATGAGTCAAAACATGCATCTTCCAATCAATGCATTTTACCAGAAATTTTTTACCTCACAAAGCAAATATCTTCACGTAACAATGTGTGTTTTACTGGTCTAGTGGTTAAGACCGATGGCTACAATGCTAAAGGTCCCATGTTTTTTATTCCGACTCTGGCGCTGGAAATTTTAGTACATCAGAAGGGCGATTTTCACCTTCCCACATCTCTGGTACCTAGACTGAATCGCTCCCGACTTTGACCTGGAGATCAATCTGCTAATATCTCTTTGGTTTGTATGTTCCTACCGAGTGGCCTGGTGGTTCTCTCTTAGTACTAATTCGGCTTCCTCCTAATAACTGACTTCCCCGTGTCCTAGCACTCCCTCTGATATGGAGTGGGGATTATTTTTGTAAATATTGTTGTAAATACGCTAGTGACACATCTCCATTAATCCTGATAGGGAGTTTTGTCGACATATGGACCCACAGCCAGAAAATATAATGTACCTTACTGTCCTTAGTTATAATATATATACTACTAGGGGGTTTAACAGAGGCGGATTTAGGGGGGGGCAGGGTGATAAGGCCCCCCTTTTGTGGGAAAAATTTGGTTGACCACTGAAGCATGACTGGAGCGGGGCCCCCTTATAAAAATTTCTGGATCCGCCACACAGGTACTTGTTTTCTATCCATGGCAAGATCTACTATCCCTATATAGAAAACAAATGCCTGTGATCCGCCACTGTTTAACGACCCATGAGGGTCTCGCACGGTCGGCTAATCGTAAGCGGGACACACAATTTATACAGGCAATCTGTCAAATATGTAAAGATGAGTATATATGATTACCTGATAACACATTTTTCTAGAGTGACAATTTGGCGGGAATCTTGGAAGTTACTGGGTTCCGCTAAACACCTACATGCTAAACACGGACATGAACAAACCAGAAAATAATTGTGTCTTCAATAACATTTTAACTTTTCGATGGTTTTCTTTGAAATTTGAAATTTGTTAAAGAAAAAAAAGTAGTATTTGATATTAAAATTTTTTTTTTTATGATGGATATTTTCTTAACGTTTAATCTGAACCGTGAGAGACACATCTAATATTATAATAACCACCTTATTCCTGAACGGTTTGAGTCATAACCCCCCAAAGTCAAACCCAACCTTCCCTTTGTGGTATGGAACCTTGTGTTTCAATTTCATAGAGATCCAGTGACTATATAATACTTAAGTAATTGTCCATTAACCAGAACAACCTTTCCCCCCCCCCTTTTTGCCCGGCCCCAATTCCAGGCTGAATCGTTTGGGCCATAACCCCCAAATTCAATCACAACCTTCCCTTTGAGGTACAATTTCATAGAGATCCATACACTTATACACAAGTTATTGTCTGGAAACTAGAAAAATGCTTTTTTTGCTTTTTTTTTTACCCCTAATTCCTAAACAGTTGGGACCATAACCCCCAAAATCAATCCCAACCTTCCTTTTGTGCTATTGAACCTTGTGGTAAATTTTCATAGAGATCCATTCACTTATACTAAAGTTATTGTCCTGAAACCAAATGTCTGACGACGTCGACGACGACATGATAGCAATTGTGTGGAATGCTCGTAACGTTGATACAACGAACCTTATATACGCCGTGACAGACTTTCAAATCAGCTAAAAATGTTTAATTTGTTCAGACAAACATCGTTCGACAAATTACAAGCACTACACTTTGACAGTAAATCAAATTTTACCAATACGATACAAAACACAGAGGTGAATTCGGTGCTCACAGAACAGCTCCAAGATATACGGGTAAAATGCATATAAGTTAACCCTATATCAGAGACTTAACAATAATATGCGCGTATATTCTACTCAGTTTTATACGACTTAAGATTTTATATTTTGTATTTAGTCACCAAAGAAACTGTAAACGCTTATCATTTCAACAATATACAAGTATATTTAATTAATATATAAACATAGATTTCAACAAAATACACGTATGTTATCGCCAATGACGTGAATGGCTGTAGACTCATATAGTCGACGTATATACGTACGTACGTTATTTCATTGGAAATCTCAACATACTAAAATACAAAAGGCAGGTATAGAAATATGATCATCCCTATACACTTCTACCGTTCAGCAGTAAACCCTTGCTACAGTGAGACGTCTGTTTTGCCGTGTGTGACAATAAATACGCAACTACGTACGGTCCGTGTTGGTAGAGTCTCACGTGTAGGTAGAGTCTCACGCTCTCTGTACGTTAACGAACGCAACAACTTTCTGCGAAGTCCTTAGGCGTAAATCGACTATGACTATAGCCATTTACGTCATTGGCCAGATAATATACGCGTATTTTGTTGAAATCTATGTTTATATATTGTTTAAATATACCGTTGCAAGATACATTTCTTTCACTTTCCAACATTCCCTCATTTTCCAGTGGCAGTTCAAGTTGCCACCCCTTCACCCAGGTCGACCTACGTTGTAGAACCTTAATATTGTAATATTCTTTAATGAGTTATCGTTCTGAATATGCAGGAAATAGTTACCACTGGACATTAAGCAAGCACCAATCAATATACTAATCAATCAATTTACCACACTTCCATATACATGTTCATCATGAATGTTGTCCAATTGCTATTTAATTAATATATTTTATAATTACTGACCAGAGGTCTCTTGTGTTGTTGTCTCATTATCGTTTACTCTACAGCAACTCTACACCTCCCTTTATGCATACTACTAGTTGCTGGGAACTAAGTACCTGAATTTTCTTACCTGTTGTTTATGTGCTCTGATATCATTGTATAATCGTTATCATTTACAAAAATAGATATTTCAACGAGCATCACAAATAAATTATATTCAAAATCGAAAAGGGGCGTTTAAAGACTAACGAAAATTTACGGATATTTACCTTCTTCTTTATTCCTTCTTATTCTGTCTTTGAATTATGTCAGTCTTGAATATATCTTACCTGAGAAATACACTGTATTCTTTTGATATTGTACACATTTCACAATTTAAATCTATAATCATTTTAAAAATAGATATTACCTTATTACCGTGAGCCTAAAAATAAATCGTTTTGGAAATAGGGTATGGTTAATTAATTGACAATGATGCTGTGAAATATTTGGTTTTTTTCTCTCCAAAATTACCGGTATTTCACATCATTTAGTAATTCTTATTTTCTATTACGCGTTTCCTTTAAAAGAGTTGAATTTTTCGTGCTGAACAGATCGGAATCACGAAAAAAAAACCAGCTATACTTCTGTATGGTAGGCGATTACTGCCATAATTCTATGCATCCATGTTCTATATTCCTTAACGTATTTATCCATAGTTCTTAAAATTGCGACCCAAAACACAAAAGATTTGTACTCGGTATGCGAAACAGGATAATCATTAAAGGTTGGTGAGACTTGCTTTCCTGTTTTTCCAAACCTCGTACAAATAAATTATATCATATAGAACAGTTTCCTATTATGTGCATATATCGTATTTCTATTTCTTTAATAAACACATATAATGATTTCAGATAAGTGGCATAGCTTTAACTTTATCTCAAATGAGGCACTTTGAACACTTTGCATCAATGGAAAATTGTGTGGGTAACCCCCACCCCTACCCAAACACTGGTGCTTTAATCAAAGCGTAATGAAATAATTCCAATATATACAAAAGAGTGTGTTGTTTGACGATGAAAAAAGTCGAAAATAAGGAAAATTAAATTTTCGAGCGAGTTTATAACAAAAGTATATCCCAATTGGTATTGCTCTGCAAGTAGGCTAGTTTTAAATCATATTTATATCAAGTTCAAGGAACACGTAGCTGCATGCATCCAATACCGTTCAGCGGGTTGACACGTGTGTCAAGATCCGGCCAACAGATTAAAAGTAGTATCTAAGCTCGGTCAATAGAATGGCACTGGTGGGGGAAATAGTTTATCAATATTCTGGATCAGTTCAACATACATATGTATAAATATATCCTCTCCATGTGTAAATATTAAAAGAAAAACAAAGGTTACTATTTTGTTTAACATTTTACCGATGTTACTTATTTTTCTCAGTATTTTTCATTCTAGTGTGTTAATAATACTATGTAATAAGAAATTAAGCCACTGGTTAAAAATCTCTTATTTTCCTGCACCGTCAAACGAATGTCCAACTCTAACGTGGTTTTGACTGCGGGATGGGATCGGTCCAGGAATTGCAATATTCTGTGCCCTGTCAACCCTTGGGGTAAAACAACAATTCACCCAATGTTTTGATATAACTATCATGGACAAAACAGAATGACACCCAGTTATGTCAAGGGTTGAATTCATATGTGTATGTAGAATTTGATTAATTTTAAAAGGGGTAATAGAGCAAAGGATAAGGGATTTGTTAATTGCAGATGTTTTAATCTGAAAACTGAAGTGAGTCAGTCATAAAAATATTTAGCACATACTTACAACTTCTCATCCAATCAAATTGCTTTTTGCCTTCTAATTTTCATAGTACATACTTTTTCCGTGTACTAAGTATCGGTTAGTCTATGAAAAGGTATGTACTATGAAATTTAGAGCGAGGGGCTTGCCCCGAGCATTTAATTTCATAGTATAAATAGCAAAGTAAGAGATTTTTTAACCAGTTGCAAGCCCCTCGCTCTAAATTTCATAGTACATACCTTTTCATAGACTAACCGATAGTTAATATGACAACTATTTAAAAATGGATGGTTTAGATGTTCTGGTAAATAGTAAGTTAATATCTTAACTGGTTGATGAAAAAAAATACGATTATTGCTTTTAATTAATTGAAAAAAAGATCATAGAAAAGATCATGAAATTTTTTTTAGGATTAAAAAAAGAAAATATTACATTGAATTGCTACACCTGTTTTTGTATACTAAAAATGTAAACATCACTCAGGTCAATTTAAGAACTTTTCATTGTATGAATGAACGAATGAATGAATGGATGAATGGTTGATTATAGTCCAACCTAAATTAATATGTAAAGTCGAGCACTGTAGATGTAAAATACAGCGCTGGAGATGCAAAGTCCAACGCTATAGATTTGAAGTCCATCTTTGCATCTCCAGGGTTGTGCATTATATCTACATCGCTCAACTTTATATCTCCAGCGCTAGAATTTTTATATGTCTACAGCACTAGACTTTACATTTGCAGCGCTGGAGTTAACATCATTTGCACTGGACTTTACCTCTCCAGCGCTTGACTTCAGATGTTCAGCGCTAAACTTTAGATTTCCAGTGCTGGACTTTATATCTACAGGGCTAGACTTTACATCTCCAGAGCTTAACTTTAAAAAGCTTTAAAAACTCTATATCTGTATGAAACCAACAATGCTCCGTATTCTCGCATATTTTCGTGAATTACACGAAAGAGCAAATCAAATGAAATACCAACCGACTTCCTCACACCTAAGGCCGTTAGTTTTCTCGTTTGAATTGTTTTACATTTGCCATTTCTGGGTCTTTTATAGCTTTCTATGAGGTATGGGTTTTGCTCATTGTTGAATGACGTACGATGGCCTATATTCGTTAACTTCTACGTCGTTTGGTCTTTGGGGAGGTTGTCTCATTGGTAATCATACCACATCCTCCCATTTTAATATTCCTCACACGCTCGTCACGAGAATACAGCAGCGCGCGATCGTATCCGTCGGGTTTTGAAACAAAAATGCTTAAGGTCGATTGTAAGGTGGACAAAGGGTATGGCTTTTTTCAGTTGATACATGTCATTATATGTATTAGTAGCATTAGGTGCATAAAATGTGCCGGTGGCGAAAAATTTTTCATTTAATTTCAGATCTTTCCTGGCCGAGAACACAGTTATTTCGTAATGCATTTCTTTTAGATAATAAATTCAAATTTAAATAATCGTACCAGCCCTTTCTCAAAATTATTTTTACAGTGTAGTGTTCTACTTTTGGGACAAATAATATCAAAATTATAGAAAAGTTTACCAGCTCTAACTCAAAACATGGACAATTCTATGTTAAGGAGGTCTATAATTCAGCTTCACAGCTTCAGACATACTAACATTTCACTTTTTTTAGCTGGACCAAATCACTGCTTTAAAAATGCATCATCCAAATTTTTTTAACACGTAGTTTCAACACCCTACTTTATTTTTTATGCATAACTATATTTGTAGATAACGAAAATTAAAGGCTCGGACCTCCTGTCTCGTGGAAAATAAGAGGATAGAGACAGCACGTTTAAACTACAGTTATTATAAGATTGTATGGATAAGATGAGATAAGTTATTAATATTTGTTTTTGACTCAAAATGTCCATATATCATAATACATGACAC